CACTGTGTCACTGTCAAGTCTTCTCTTTTGCATGGACCCCAAACAATGACAAGTACATGGGGCTCCTGGGGAATGTTTTTGTACTGCCCAGCTGTTTTCATATTTTGACTTAATTTTTCTTTTCTGTTATTACTATTATGCTATTAATAAACTATACCAGATAATTCTGTTGTTTTTCTTCCAAATTTGTCACAGTTTTTTTTAGTACTGTTGCCCAGTTTCGATGAGGTCACTTCCCGCTTTTCTGCTTTGCTGTGTGGCCAGTTGATCCCGTTGGCACCGTGGCCGTGTCTGATTCTGCAGGCTGAGTCAGCTACTCTGATGCTGAAAAGTGGATTTACTGAAACAGATTCAAGACCCGTCATAGTTTTAGCCAGTTTGGGTATTTCCTCTTTGTTTTGGTCATTTTCATTTCGTAGAGGGTCCAGATGGTATTCATCCTAATGGTAACCGCCTTTTCTCTCTGAAGAGCTACCAAAAAATTCCACAGGACAGGAGTGGCAAGGGCTCAGCTGTGTGGCTTGTCACCTGTTACTTGCAGGGTCTGCTTTGGCAGGAGGCTGGGGTCAAGAGTGGATGTGCAACAAATGCCTCGACTGCTATGCCGGATGGCCACCCACTGCCACGTCTAGGCAGTAACTGCATGTGAAGTGTGAACACCCAGGGGCTTGCGTGGCACACAGCGTGATGTATATGAACCCCGGTTCAAGGCCTGACTGCCTCACTTCTGGAAGACAATGGGAAGATGGTTTACATGCTTAGACCCTTACCAAATAAATAAATCACTAAAAAAGGTGGGGGAGAACCTGGTGAGGTAGCCTAGTGGCTAAAGTCCTTGCCTTGCATGCACTGGGATCCTATCTGGGCATCGGTTCTAATCCAAGCTGTTCTATTTCCCATCCAGCTCCCTGGCTGTGGCCTGGGAAAGCAGTCAAGGACGGCCCAAAGCCTTGGGACCCTGCACTTAAGTGGGACACCCAGAAGAAGCTCTTGGCTCCTGGCTTTGGATCAGCTCAGTTCTGACCATTGTGGCCACTTGGAGAGTGAATCAGCAGATGGAAGATCTTTCTTTCTGTCTCTCTCTCTCTCTGTAAATCTGACTTTCCAATAAATCAATCTTTAAAGAAAAAAGAGTGAAGATCAAGTTTTAACAAATGAAGAACCAATTGGAATAGCAAAAAAAAAAAAAAAAAAAAAAAGTTGCACACATTGGAAACAAAGGTGTGGGAATGTTGAAAGCCAGATGCTGCTGAGCGGGGCATCCTGAGGTGGGAGGCTAAGGCCCAGAGCCCAGGAGCTGAGCATCCTGGGAGAAGCCAGAACCACAGCCCACTGCTGCAGGATTAGAGATTCAAAGAGGTGAGGGGGTTCATCTGCTGAGTCAGCCAGTCCCCAAGGAACACGTGGCAGTGACTGCGGTGGGAGTGGCAGGCCCTGAGTGAGGCCCAAGTCCCTGCCTTAGCCTTGCCTTAGGGCTCAACACACAGACCAACGTTGGTCGAGCTCCTCAGCTGTGAGTTTTCAGTTTCCTGGCTGCTAACCGAGATGGTGCTGGACGACAAGGGTCTAAAATCGCTCTGGAGGGTGGCTGCCAGCGCCTGGAAGAGACAGAAAACACCCAGTGCATAGTGGGATTATCCCAGGTACAACCACAGGGAGTCCTTGTGGGATCAAATGTAAAACTTGTTCTAAAAAATAAAATAAAACAGGAAAGACAAAATTCACAGGAACATCTGTTCACCGTATTTACCATTGCCATGTGGCTCACCCCACCCCTGAGGGTCTTTACTGGACTTCCTCTGTACCCTGCTTTGAGAAGCCTCCCAGGAATTCCCTCCTCCTCCTCCTTCTTCTTCTTTTTTGCACAGGGAACCACTTTTTCTGAAAAACCAAGAAGTGAAATGACAACAAGAACAGGAAGTGAAGGAGGAAAGCAAAAGGAGAAGCAAGGATGGGGACCAGCTGGCTCCGGAGTGCGGGGCGGAGGCCCGTGTGCCCGTCCCTCGGTCGATGTGCTCAGAGACCATGCAGCTGGGCAGTGCCTTCCTCCTCCTCTGCCTCCCAGGTGAGTGCGGCTTGGGAGGTCTTGTCTGCTGAGCTCGGGGACGGAGAGGCTGGAGAGGATATGCAGAGGCTGCAGAAATTTCGAAAATGCCCCGTCTGCCTCTCCCATATCCTCCTCCTCAACGGACAGAGGCAAAAAGTTATCCTTGGGAGATCCGGCCCCATCTCAGCCTTTTCTCCACCGAGAGCATAAAGCCTATGGGACTTCTGTGTGTGGAATGGGATACTGGGCTGGCCAGGGTGAGGAGGACCTGAGTGATACTGGGCGGGCCAGGGTGAGGAGGACCTGAGTGATACTGGGCGGGCCAGGGTGAGGGGACCTGAGTGATACTGGGCGGGCCAGGGTGAGGGGACCTGAGGGATGGGCGGGCCAGGACAAGGTGGGGCCTGAGTGAAGGTGATGTGCATACTTCAGCCCCTGCCCAGGAGGCCTTAGTCCCTTCCCATCTCCTCATTTCCTCTCTATATCCACCTGATAGCCCTGGACCGAGGGAAACCTGCTCCCCAGCCTGCTGAAGACTGGAGGACAACTGTGGGGTTCATAGAATTTGGGGTCTGCAGCTTCATCCTTCTCTCTCTAAGGAATTCTTGCCTATTACTCCTAGATAGCCCTGTTAACTCCATCTTCCAGCTCCAAGCGCCACCGACCCTAACGCATGTTGCCCTAGGGCAGTTAGAGGGTGTATGCATGGGTAAGTGAGGGTGACACCCCAGAAGAGCTGAGGAGGGCAGTGCAGGTCCCTCCTGAACCCCAAATTGTGTCTGTTCATATCACCAAGGAGCTGGGCCTTGCGCAGATGTCTCTCATCCCCAGCTAAACAGTGAGAGATGGCAAAGAAGTGAAAAGCAGGCGGGAAGGCGGGCCACCCAGAGCTCCCCACGACTGATCCGGGAGAGAGGGGTGTGCAGGAGGGTCTGTGAAGGCATGAGGGCGAGGACATTTCAGCAGGCAGTGGGATGGAATTTAAAAAATGAGAAGTTCGTTTTAATGCCTCCCCTCAAAAAATATTCCCAGGCATGTAAATGGTCTTCGCAATTCCATGAAAAATGCGAATTGTGGAAAAACTAGGCATGGATTTCAGGGTGTGTTTTTTTTTTTTAACCATAATCTTCTGTTTATTTTCCTGTGGATTTGTGAGGCACTCTCGTGTCTGTATGTGTGTGTGTGTCTATGTGTGTATGTGTGTATATATGCCTTGTACGCATCGGGATCTCCTATGGGTGCCCGTTTGTGTCCTGGCTGCTCCATCTCCCATCCAGCTCCCTGCTTACATTCCAGGAAAGCAGTAGAGAATGGCCCAAGACCTTGGGATCTTACACCCACATGGGAGACCTGGAAGAAGTTCCTGGCTCCTGGCTTTGGATTGGCTCAACTCCAGCTTTACAGCCACTTGGGGAGTGAACCAGCAAGAGGATCCTTCTCTCTGTATCTCCTTTTCTCAGTAAATCTGATCTACCTTTCCAATAAAAATAAAATAAAGCTTTTAGAAAAAAAGAGAAAGAAAGAAGGAAAAAACCCTCTCTCTGCTCACTGGTTCACTCCCCAAATGGTCAGGATGGCTAGAGCTGAGCCAGAAGCTTCTTTCAGGTCCCTCTTGGGCGCAGGGTTCCAAGCACTTGGGGCTGTCTTTCCCAGGCCACAAGCAGGAGGACAGATAGATAGTAGAGCAGCCAGGATACAAATTGGTGCCCATGTGGAATCCTGGCACTTGGGGGGGGGGGGAAGATCAACCAATTGAGCCATCATGCTGGGCCCAGAAAGAATAGTTTTTCTGGGTCTACCTGGAAGTAGCTGGAGATTTCTCCTGCTCCCAGAACCAGCAGGCAAGTCAGCCATTGACGCAGGCCTGGGTTTGTGCAGGGAGGGAGTGCTTCCGGTGTGGGGTAGCCAGGAACATGTGAGCCAAGGTCACTGCTCCCCGTTCCCCTGTCAGTGGCACAGGCGTTGGATCCCGTGCCACCCTGGCTAAGTCTGTGTCTCTTGCGTTTTTCAGGCTGTCTCACCCTGGGCACCCCCAAGGTTTTAGAGGGCACGGTGGGGAGCACGCTGATGATAACATGCAGGTACAAGGTAGGAGAGGAAGGCCCCAGGAAGTTCTGGTGCCGAGGGGCCAACTGGATGGACTGTGTCCGGGTCATTGAGACAGCGCAGCCAGCGAAGGAGGAGGCGAGGCGTGGCCGAGTGACCCTCCAGGACAGGCCGTGGGGGCACCATTTCATCGTCAGCATGACGAGCCTGGAGACGGGAGACGCGGACACTTACTGGTGTGGAGTGGACTTGCCCAAGCATATCCCCCAGGCCCCAGTGATGGTGGCTGTTCTCCCAGGTAATCTCTCCTCTCCTCCCTTTGCCTGGAACGGGAACAGGTTCCCAGCCCCCTTGCTGAGGGCGGATCCAGCTTTGTCTCCTGGACTGGCTGCCATGAATGGGGCAAGGAGCACACCTGGGTGTGCATAGAGGTGTAACCTGCGGGAAAGTGAAGGCGGGGGGATCTGTGACATCTCCAGTCTTGACCCTGCTTGTGTGAGCTAGCAGAGGGGACAGCTGTTGCATTCCTCAAGATGGGGGTGAGGAGGAGAGGAAGGCTCTGGGGTCCTGGAGCTCAGGGTTGCTCACTTCTGGGTAGGAGCTGAACGGCGTAACACAGGAGGTACATGGGATCCAAGGTGGGGACCAGATAGCCTGTCCAGGGACTGCTCCAGGTCCAGACCCAGAGGAGGGCCCTCTGTGAATGGATAGTTGGTGTTGAAAGGGTGTAATTCATCCTGGCTTCCCTGGGGTGCCCCAGTCCTCGCCTCCCGACCCTTCATAGCCCTGGCTTAGCATATAAACCACACCTGTTACTTTCTCACTTTGGCCCACTGGGACATGGACTGGTTCATACCAGCAGTTTTTGTTTTTCCATACTTGATCTCGTGTAGGGAGTTGAGGGGAGGGGGGATGCTGGGCCTGCCCCTGGGGAGTTCCTGGGGCTCCCACCATCCCTGCAGAATGTGCCAGAACCTCTTGGGGGCTTTTCTGGAGGGCTAGCATTTTCTTCTCCCAGCAGCTCCTGCTAAGGGACACTGCTGCCCACCTGATAACTTGGGAACTGCTGAGAGCAGCAGTGCCATGACCCCTGCTCACTGGCCTGTGCACTGTCCAGGGACCCATCTCTATCTGCCCCCACTTCCCTCCTGGGGTCCCTTGGGAAGTACGGTGGTGGCTTTGTGAGAACTGCAGATTCTGAGCAGGGTGGAGACTAACCTGTTCCCTGACCCACAGGCCCCACAACAACAGCAACGAGGACCCTGGAAACCATGGGCTCCAGTATGCCCGCCAGTCCCATGTCCAACCCTGGACATCCCACTTGGTAAGATAAACGGAGTTCTTACCACAGTTCCTAATGCATCCTGGAAGTCCACAGGAGTCAATCCTGAGGCCGGGGTCAATCCTGACTCTAGTGTGATGCCCTACTGCTGACTCCAGGTCCTCCCCAGAGCCCTGGGCCCCCCATCCCATCCTCCTTCTCAGCCCTCTGCTCTACTTCCCTCTCAGCTAAGCGTGAGGGGCTCCTGCCCACCATTTGGACTCCTGTCCCAGTTTCCGTGTTTTCCTGGCAGCCTGGGGACCTGGGCAAGCAACCTAAGGCTCAGTTTCCTCACTGACAGGATGAGCGTTGGTCCCATTGTCACGGTTGCCTTATGTCAAAGCTGAGTGGCACATGGCACTCAGGGATCACGTGCGTGGATTCTGCAGTCAGGATTTGGACTGGGCCATAGCAGTGACAACTTGTTTGCACTGCAGGATGACTGGGGCCTTAGCTGGATGTCCCCAGAGCTCTTCATGACACTGTCTGGAGCTCACTCACCTGGCATTGGTGAGGCTGTTGGCTGGAAGGCATGTGGGTGCTTGCAACTTGGCGGCTGGGATCATGGGTGACAGGGAGAGCCAGGTGGAGAGTCTTATTTGTAGGTCTTCCACTGTGTTCTCTCTGCGTAGCTGCAAAGTTGCCAGGTCCAGAGGGAGAGGGACCAGACTTTGCCTCCAGGAACACAGACTGGACAGACCAGATCCATTGCTGGAGGCATTTTCAGAAAGCACAGCCAGTTATAAGTGTGACAACAGCGCCACCTTGCTGCGTTATCATGGGGAACACCCAAGCAAGGCGGTCATCCCTGCTCACCCCGTGGAGACAGCTCATCCTTGTCCCTAGCTGTTGGCCTTTCTCTCTCTGTTCTCCCTTCGAGGGCCACTTAGCAGAGCCATCACAAGGAGCCACCACCAGCTTTCTGCACTCCGGTCCCAAGCTTGGGGCTCAGAGGCAGAGGGTGGTGCATCAGGGACTCCTGGCTGGCCAGTGGCCACTGCCTCTCTCTGACTTTGTTTTCCCTCTCAGGCTGCTCTGGATGTACATCAGCTGCATGTTCCTGGTCTCGCTCAAGGTGACCTTCCTGCTGAGCCTTGGCTGCATCATCACCTGGCTGGCCTGGACTTCAGCCTTTCCCTGAGAAACAATGACTCCCAGCCCCGGGCTGCTCCCAGCGAAGTGACGCTGGCTGTGTCAGCTCTGAGGATCCTGCAGGGACCCACACGCTCAGAAGCTGAGTGGATCTTCAGGATGACTCAGGGCTGTGGAGTCAGATGGCATGCACTCCAACCCCAGGACTGCCACCTGCCAGCCATTGGACCCGGGAGGGGTTACTGGATGGTGCTCCTCAGGTGTTGCTTGGATTTGTATTTAATTGATGCACTACATGGAGGGTTCTGGTCTCTCAGGATGACTCCAATATGTGGCTGTTAGTTGGGGTGCAGGGAAGCAGGGAGCAGGACCAGGCAGGTTGGGATGGGGTTTGGGGAGCAGTGGGGCCGTGCTTCCTAGAAATTCTGATCATCTTAGGAGAGGACGTGGGAAGGCGGTGCCTGTTTCCCAAGCCTTGTTGAGATCACACAGTGCCCAGCAGGTGGCAAGGATGGTGAGAGCACATGGGGAGGGGCAGAATGGAGAACCCCAGCCCCGCCAGGTGAAGGCCTGGTGCAGGCCTCCTGGCAGGCAGCTGCAGGAAGAGCCGGGCTCTCCTTGCTGAGGAGGCACGAAGGGGCCATGATCCATCTTGGCCTGAACCCCACTCTCCAGTTCTCTCTTTGTCCTGCTCTGGGCTCCACACTCAGCCTTTGCTGGGGCTGGGGGAGGGTAGGAGAGGAGGTGGGGAGGGTGCTTTCTCTTTTCTCGCTCAGTCCTCAAGATTTAGGTACAGACAACACCACTCATCCACTTTTCTTTTCTTTCAAAGATTTAGTTTTATTTGTTTGAAAGGGAGAGAGAGAGAAAGAGCAAGTGCTGGACCAAGCTGAAGCCAGGAGCTTCATCTGGGTCTCCCACGTGGGTGCAGGGCCCCAGGCATTTGAACCATGTCTTCTGCTGCTTTTCCAGGCATATTAGCAGGGAGCTGGATTTAAAGTGGAGCAACTGAGACTTGACTCAGTACCCATATGAGATGCTGGCACCACAGGCAGAGGTTTGACCTACATGCCACAATGCCAACCCAACTCTTCTTGACTGTCCACCCACCCTGGGCTGGTGTGACCTCTGGAGGAATCACTCCTGATTTGCCTAGCTCCATCCAAGCTGCTACTAGAAATGTGGACCAGGTGGGCCCTGTGAGATAGCCTACCAGCTAAATCCTCACTTTGCATGCTCCAGGATTCCATATGGACACCGGTTCATGTCCCGGCTATTCCACTTCCCATCCAGCTCCCTGATTGTGGCCTGGGAAAGCAGTCAGGGACATGGTAGAAGGGACAGTCTGCAGGGGCGTACATGGTGGTGCTGGGTGATGGGGCAAGGACACAAGTCTGGCTCCCGCCGCCGTTGAATTCCCAAACGCTGTCTCCTCTGCGACCTTCGCAGCGCACTTCAGTAAGACCGTCCTGGCCGTCTGTATTTGGCTGTACAACCGTCTGACTTCCCCAAGCAACGAGCAAGCACAGCCTCCTCAGGAACGGACACACTGCGTGTCTGTGAGACCAGCCGGGCCTTCCTGCATTCCCTTCAGCCTGCCTCGCGGGCAAAACTTTATCAAGGTTGAAAATGCTCACAAAAAATATTCTAACCTCTAACCTCCCCACTTACCTGAATTCCCGCATCCCTCAGAACAGGCCCGAATCTTAAAAGTCAGTCTATCTATCTATCATCTGTCTATCATCTGTCCATCTATCTATGTGTAACCGGGCCTCTGCAATGTGCTTCTGTCCACACGTTGGTAGCTGGTGGCCTCTTTTAATTGAACTCAAATAGATTCAATTTGGCTGTGAGTCTGCTCCCCATCTTGTTTTTGTTCTGCGACACTTTCCAAACAGTGGGGAATGGAGGGCGTGGGAGGAATGGAGCCTCGTGGTCCCCTCTGAGAACAGCCACCAGTCAGCTGTCACCACGTGACCCAGTGGCACCCTGCGCTACAGCGTTTCCACTGCTTCAAAAGAGAATGCAGAAGGGGAATTTTTTTGTATTAACATGTAAGCCATAAACCCTGTTTAAAAACAGTACCATGAGCCAAACACACCTGTTCCAGTCCTGAGTGTTATTATTGGCCACCTCTACCTGAAGACCGGAGATCTGAGCTGGTGGCTCTGCCTGGGGCCATATGGTGTCCCCAGCAGGCAGGGGCTTTGGCCCTCAAAGGTGCACAGATGGACCTGCAGGGACAAGGTATGGGCCAGCGCCCACCCAGAGCTTCAGGGCAGAGCCAGTCCTGCTGTCTGCCTTGTGATTGGGTCCACAGATGGCGTCCCCCTTGTGCACCTTGCTGTTCTTAGAGGAGAAATGGAGACCCCCACTTGAGAGTCTGTCATGCGGCTGATAACCACTACTGAAAATTCCCCTGACTCCCCTTCCATTAAAGGTTGGGGTTCGCATCCCCTTCTCTGCAGCCTGGGTGGGCTATAACTGCTTCTGCCAGGAGAGACCAGAGCAGAGTTAGTCTCCAAGGGGGCATGCTGAAGCAGCTCCAGGCTTCCCACTCTGGGCTCTCCACACTTCAGTGTCCCCACATCATGCCATCCCTACCCCAAATCCCCTCTGAGAGTCAAGAGTGAGTGTTCCCTGGATACCCATACATCTGTCCTGGACTTTCTTCCACTTCTACTGCTTCAACAAGCTTTGGACAAGCTGGCTGGGTAGACCTCATGGCAAGAGGCTGGACAGCTGGGGCACAAGATGCTCCATCACCACTTTGGTCTCAACTCCAGTGGTGAGCCACTGGGTCCATGGTGGCCCTGCCCTGGGCTTGGGCAAGGAGACCCGCAGGAGGGTCTCCTTGGGTCTAGGTACACTCAGAAATACCAGTGGGGATGTCTTAGTGGAGTGCTCAGGCCGCCATGATCTGGAGTACTGTCAAGAAATGGGAACTTCCACTCGCTTACTGATTCGTGCACAGTGAGACATTCGTTCAGACACATTCTGTCGTTTCTTGTTCCCCAAATGGAAGAGGACCCTAATGGGTCTCGTGCAAAGCCATAGACACTAGAGTTCCCACCCTCAGACAGATCAGGAAAGCAGGGGAGGATGGAGGCAGAGTGAGGGTGGCAGTGCCTGGAGGGAGTTGGGGCAACTTCTCCTGCAGCCAGGCTGGAGTGAGCTGTGTGTGCCTTTCTTCAGGGTAGAGCCCACGGTCCATGGCTGGAGCTCTTCCACCTGCTCATGGGGTCCCCTGTTAGCTGTGGCAGAGCCCTGCCCCTCAGTCCTCCCTCCTGCTCTGAGGTGCACATCCGAGTGTGAACCTACCCTGGTCAGGATCTTCTCTCTTGGTTATAAATACAGAAGATTTCACCCAATATGCAACTCACGCCCTGACCATCTACTCCAAAGGCAACACCCTTCTGTCCTAATATGTCAAACTGAGAAGTGGCTGCTCACAGAGCAGGAAGTGCATGGCAGAGGCCCCAAGGAGAGATCAGGCCCAGGCATTCACCCAGAGCTTGTCTCCTGGAAGGATCGGGTGCTGGTCACCGAGGACGGGGGTCAGGACCATGTGGCTGCCTCCCACTCTGCTCCTGCTCTTCCTCCCAGGTGAGTGCTCCCCTCACACCTGGAGGAACTAGGGTACCAGGGCTCGGGGTGGAAGTCAGAGTCTGTGTTTGGGACGTTAATTGTGGGACCTCAAATAACTATGCGAGTCACCCATTGCCTGATCAAACACTCTGGCACAGGAGACACAATGTTTGCTGACAGGAAGTGCCACCTGCACAAAGTGTTCCCGGGGAGTTGGGTTCAGGGGGTGGGAGGCCAGCGTGCTCCTGGGGTCTTCACCTTGGAGTCATGAAAGGTCAGAGGAGTCTCTGCTTCTCGTGGTTCTGCAGGAAGATGTCTGAGGTCAAGCTGCCCAGGATTCAGGGTCCAGAGGGATCCACCTTTGCACCATGGCCTCACGTGACCTCTTTGCTGGGAGTCGGGAGGTTGGGAGATGGATAGAGGGGGTTACAGCGTGTCTCTCATAAGACAATCCCTGTCCCTACCCTACGAGTCCCATCCTCATGACATCATGTCAACCATGTCCAACAATATCATGCTGGGTGGGGATCCAATTCTGGTTTTGGGGTCACAATGACATTGCACATGGAGGCCAAGCTGATGAAGACGTGAACAGGATGGGTACACCTGCTTTCGGTTTAACAAGATCACCTGGCTACTCCGCCTGAGGGCCACTTCTGCATCAGAGAGGAAAATCCAGGCTCAGTATTTCCACTCCCTGCATTCAAGTTTAAGTGTGGAAGCAGTGGTGGCAGACTCAGCAGGTGGAGAAGAAGGCATCTTCCTCAGGCAGCACAAGACGGGCAGGCAAGCCCCTCCATGCCCCCGACACGGGGAGATGGACAGAGGGGGTCTGCGGGGATTTCCCTCAAACCTGCAGCAGCTTCTGATAGGCCCCCATCGAAACCTGCAGCTGAGATCACGGTCAAGTCCCCGGAAAATGTGGATGCACGCTGGTATCTGCTTGGGATGCTGACCTTTTGTGTCCTGCTTGGACATTTTGTCCAGAATGCCACCCTCTGCTTGGCCCCTTCTTTTGGGGAAGTTACTCTGATTTACTGGGCTGGTCCTCTTCCTTCTCTCAGAATCAAAAAAAACATCTGCAGTCTCTTCCAAAGACCACGGGCAGAATCACCCCTGACTGAGGCTCATGGCTTAAACACGGTGCCTGCATGTCCCCGACAAGGTTAGACCCGTCTGCTTCCAGGGGTGTCGGCGTGTCAGGTGGATCCACCTGCAGTCAGGTTAGATGGCTTTCTTCTTTAGTTAATGAGGACAAGGACCAAGAAGTGAGGAAGAGGAGGCCAGGCAGCCAGAGGAGACACCGCCAGAGCCTGACCCCACTGAGCACAGCCCACGTGTTGCCCCAGGAAGTGGATGGGATGCTGACCGTCAGAGACAGAGCATTCCCCTGTGCTGTGGTCCCCCAGAACCTCAATGCAAGAGCTGCCCTTGGCCAAGCACATGAGCTCTAACTCCGTGTAAGGGGCAAGGGGGCCAGGTGGCACAGCTGTGGTTTAGAGGGTACTGGGTGCCACCATGTACCAGAGGACAGCATCAAGGGGAAGGTGGCATGGGGCCCATGGCAGGGAATTTGGACACCACCCCAAGGGATCCCAGTCAGGTGTGTAAGGCCGTCAGCAGTGAAGGTGAAGGGAGTCTGGGTGTCCCCTGACCAGAGTTTAAATCCAGCAACAAGACTGGCAGCAGTGTGCATTACACTAGTGTGTAACTGGCTCAGGACAGGCAGTGAGAGAGTGAAGCAGCAGAGGGCACTGTGCCAGGCAGGAAAGGAGAATCTACAATAGTGGCTGTGATCCGAGGACAACCTCAGTCTAAAGCCACAGCTCCACCACCATGGTAAAAACGGCTCCACACGGCACTCTCAGCCCTGCCTGGACATCAGATGTGGGCATAAGCCACATGGCTGTGCTGGGGAAGGGTGTCCACAGCCCACCAGGGCGGGCTGGTCCTCTTAGCACACATGCTCAGGAAAGTGGTGCTGCTTTGCAAAGTGGGGTATGGACAATCACACTGGACTTCCTGGGCAGCAGAGGGTTGAGGGGTTCAGGAGCACCTAGTCAGCTCTGCTGTCCTCCTAAACTGTTAGCAGTGTCACCGATGACCTCAGCGAGTGCAAGGACAAGGAGCCCACATCCGGGCCTCACCAAATGACCCAGTGTGGGAATGGGTGGGAATGTCTCAGGGTGAGGAAGTTGGGCTTTGCGTAAAGAAATTTGGTGTGCTTAGGGCTTCTCATTAATTTCCCAGCCTCTGCTGGGGACACAGTCTTGGGCCCTGTGCTGGTCGGTGTGCACGGCCGTGGGCACTCTTTCTTGCTCCCTGTGGATGGCTGGTGTGGGCTGACCCTCTGGGGTCTCATTCTGGCTCCCTGTGATGGCTAGTGTGGGTTCACCCACTGGGGTCTCTATCTGGCTCCCTGTGATGGTTAGTGTGGGCTGACCCACGGGGGTCACCATCTGGTTCATGTGATGGTTAGTGTGGTTTGAATCCTTGCACAAGCAGCTTTTTACTTCCTGGCTGCCCTTCCTTTCTGATTGCTTCCTGCTTCTCACATGTAACTGGCCAGTGTCATGTTTATGTTCATGTTTTCGTTCTGTGTCTCTCATTTCTCGTTCCTCTGATCACTTCCTCTTACCTCCCTGGGATTGCCACTTGCTATCTTCTCTAAGACACTGTGCTAACCGCCTGCCTTTCAGACAGTAACTGAGCAAGTCGAAGGTGAAGAAAGCATTTCTGTCTGCTTCTGGAAGCAGAGGTGTCACGCACGTGCTGCCGCACAGTTCCCTCCTCCGAGAGTGCAGTGGCCGTTAGTGTACTAACGAAGCTGAGCAGCAATCTCCCGTCTCACTCCATGATGTGGTCATCTCCTCAAAAAGAATTCCAGACCCAGCAGTGGGCCCTCTCCTCCCCTGACACCAGCCCGTGGCATCCCCTTCCACTGTCTCATCTCTTTGGAGTGCCCTGTTCTGGAAATGTCGCGTGAATGCACTTGACTCCTGCCACATGTGCCCTCTTCCCAGTCTGGGATCCTCCACTCAGCATGACATTTTCAAGGTCTGTTAATGTCACAGCCTGAGCCAGCACCTCATTCATGGTTATGCTGTGCACTATTCCACTGCCAACAGACCACCTGCTGTGTATCTGGCCGTCTGTTGAGCTGCTGCTGCCGATTTTGGAGATTGTCAACAATCTCTCCATCTCATTGCACACCTGTCTGCAGTAGCACAAGTTTTCCATTCTTTTGGTGTGTGCCTAGGAGTAGAATGGCCAGGTGCTGTGGTTTGGATATATTCTGGTTGTAAACTGCCACTCCCTCATCCCGCACCATCCTGCCTTACAGGGTGTTGGAAGCTCGGCCCCCAGGGTGGCAGTGCTGAGGTGGTGGAGCCTTTAAGCACTTTCTGGTGCTCAGGGAGGTGGTGAGGTTGTGGGCAGCACTGTTGGGCTGCATTGATGCCATTCTGAGCCTGCTGAGGTGGCTCCTGTGAGGGCAGCTCCCATCCAGAGAGCAGCCCACTCCTTCCTCGCTCTGGCCACCTGCTCTGCCAGACACCCTGCCCACTGACATACCACCCTGCTGCCTACCAGCAGACACCTCTGCCAGCTGAGGTGCTATCAGAAGGCCTCCCCAGAGCCAGGCATATGCTGGACCCTGACCTTCAATAGCAGAGCTGTCATAAACTCTCCTCGATGGAGCGCCGAGGCTCGTGCACACTGCTAGAGCAACGGGCAGTTCTGAGACTGTGTGACGCACTCACTGTGTATTTGCATTTCTGGGGAAATGGGCAAATATTTTCTGAGAAGTAACTTTGAATACAGCTCTGGCTGTGTCACTTGAGTTCTGTTGGGTAATGCTGCCTTTGTGTTAAAGTGTGTTGCATCTTGATGCATTTTTAACCTGGTCTGTAAGCAGATCCATTTTTGTGATAATTTTATTCTTGATCAAGTTTTTGTTTCCTTCCTCAGTGTTTGTAAAGAGTTGTTTATTTGAAAGAGTGACAGAGAGAGATGGAGGGTCAGAGCGAAATCTTCTCCCCACCTGCTCACTTCCCAAACGGTCAGGCTGAAGCCAGGAGCCTGGTGGCAGTGTCCAAGGCTCAAGGACCAAGGACCATCATTTGCTGCCTTTCCAGGTGCATCAGCAAGGAGCCCGATCAGAAACAGAGCAGCCAGGATCCAAACCTGCATTGCAAGTGCTGGCTTAGCCTACTGTACCACAACAACATATCCTGATATTTATTTTCCATGTATTATTTTTAATGAGTGTTTTATTTGAAAGGCAGAGCGACACAGACTAAAGAAGTGACATAGAAAAATCTTCTGTCTGCTGGGTAACTTGCCAAATGACCACAACTTCCAGAGCTGGGCTAACCCAAAGTGAGAATTGAGGGGTCAAGAACTTCCTTCAGGCATCCCATGTGGATGAGGGGCCCAAGCTCTTGGGCCATCCTCGGCTGCTTTCCCCAGACCTATATTAGCAGGTAACATTGAAGGTGGAGTAGTCAGGACTTGAACCAGCACCCATGTGAAATGCTGGTATTGTAAGCAGCAGCTTAAGGCGCTGTGCACAGCACCACCCCCACATCATTTTCACATCTATATTTAAGCCTGGTCATATCTCTTTTTTTTTTATTTTTATTATTTTTTATTGGAAAGGCGGATATACAGAGAGGAGAGACTGAGAGGAAGATCTTCCGTCCGATGATTCACTCCCCAAGTGAGCGCAACGGGCCGATACTATGCCGATCCGAAGCCAGGAGCCTCTTCCGGGTCTCCCACGCGGGTGCAGGGTCCCAAAGCTTTGGGCCATCCTCAACTGCTTTCCCAGGCCACAGGCAGGGAGCTGGATGGGAAGTGGAGCTGCCGGGATTAGAACCGGCGCCCATATGGGATCCCGGGAGTGCAAGGCGAGGACCTTTAACCACTTGCGCCACCGCGCCGGGCCCTGGTCATATCTCTTTTTATGGTTCCTTTTTTTCTTAACGATCTCCCTTAATGTTATCTTTCCTTCTTGGTGCAAAGAATTGTTCCCAAACTCAAACACTCATCTTTCTTCTCAGGGGTGTGGGTAGCTTTGTTGTTTTTCTGCAGTCCTCATGGAAATCAGACTCGGCTTGTGGCCCAGTGACTGCCTCAGCTGGTAATGTAGACCTGTTGAAATGGAGAGGGTCGGGGCCTCTGGCTTGGGAGGGCCCTGAAGCAGCCTCAAGATTTCATCCAAGCAGGGTTCATGAAAACAACGATGACGAGTTGGTAGCCAAACGCAGCATATCAAGACGCAGAGGTGGACACTTTCATTAACACACTCACAGGAAGGCAGGGACTGCCTAACTTGACAATTTCCAGACTTGTAAGGGTTCCAGGACAGATCAAAACCAAGGCCACCTGTAGAACTCAATCTTTCAACATGAACTTGAGAGTCTCTTGGCAAATAGAAGCCTGCATCTCCCCTCACTGTGGTGGGCCCTGAGCACTGTGAGTGTGCAGTTGTGTTTTTAGGGAATCTCCTGGTGGCTGGGACATAGGGAACCACAGAAGGGCTGGTCTTGGAAAAGTGCACTTCTGCCATTCTGATTGTCCTTCTCCACGGGCATTAGGGACCCAGTCACTGTGTAATGGGTGGAGGTGACAGGCGCATGGATCTGTGTTTTGCAGGCAGCTCTGGTGCCAGGGAGCCTATCTCAGGTCCAGAAACAGAGAGAGGCCCAGAGCGGGGCAACCTGTCTGTGCGGTGTCGTTATGGCCAAGGATGGGAGACGTACAAGAAGTACTGGTGTCGGGGAGCTGCGTGGAGTCACTGCGAGATCCTCCTCATTACCACTGCGTCAGAGCAAGAGGTACGGCAGGGCCGTGTGACCATCAGGGATCATCACAGAAGTCGCACGTTCACTGTGACCATGGAGCAGCTCCGTGAAGATGACGCTGACATTTACTGGTGTGGGATGGAGAGAGTGGGAGCTGACCCTGGTGTGCAAGTTAAAGTGATCGTTGACCCAGGTAAGGGGCAGGTATGTCATGGGCCTGCTGTTCCCTGGTCCTCAAAGCCCTGCTTGAGTGGTCTGCTAGAGTGGGGCTCTGTCCTGGGGCTATCTGAGCTGCCTTGTCCAAAGCCCTCCCCATGCCTCCTGTCCCGTCAGGGCCTGCTCCTCCTCCTGCTTCTGAGGCCCTAGAGCCTCCTGCAGGCTAGGGACATGGGTGGGGCCAGGCTAAGCCACTGCGCTCAGCTGCCCTCCACCTTGGGCAGCTCACATTTCCCCAGCTCAGAGCTGGGTGCAGGGTTAGGTGTGGGGTTGCAATGCCAAGAGCAGTAGGTGACCGTGTCCAATGTACCAAGCACCCACTACTGTGCTGACCACGTCACCCACCACCGTCACCTCCACCACGAACACATCTGTAGTGCCAAACACAGTGTCAACGCCTCTTTCAAGCACCTGGAGAGAGACCTACAGCTCCTCGACCGTGTCCCGCCACTCGGGGGAAGGCAGGTAAGCCAGCTGGGGACCCCTCCAGTGAGGGTGCCCTCTGCAGTGTCAGGTGGGGACTCCTCCAGTGAGGGTGCCCTCTGCAGTGTCAGGCCCCAGCCAGCATTTGCTCCCAGACTCCGATCCTTATAGAGGGTGGGGCTGCCTAGGGTTGCCTGCTGCCTCGGGCCTTCATGCTAGAGCTTGGTGAAATGATGGTTTTGCTGGTAGGTTTGTTCATTCATCCCACTATGTTCAGCTCTTCATTTACTTATTTTATTAAAAATTTTTGTAAAGATGATTTTTTTTTTCCTGGAAAGGCAAAGTTATAGAGAGAAGAGAGAGAGAAATCTCTTCCACCCACTGATTCACTCCTCAAGTGCTACAATGACGAGAATAGTCAATCTGAAGCCAGGAGCCAGGAGCTTTTTCTGGCGTTCCCATGTTGGTACAAGGTCCCAAGGCTCTGAGCATCCTCTGCTTGTGCATAAGTAGGGAGCTGAATTGAGAGTGCAGCAGCTAGGACTCCATCTAGTGCCCATATGGGATGTTGGCACTGCACATGAGAGCTTTACCTCATAAGGCATGGTGCCATCTCACTGAGTTAGCTTCTACACAGAGGGTGTATCCTGCACTTTGGGGACATGGCTGTGGAGCGGCCCCTGGAGCTTGGAGCCTAGTGTGGGGGTCTGATGACGGGCAGTGAGTGAGATCTCATGACTAGAGTGGGAGCTCCTGGAGGTGCTGCTGTGGGTCCCCCTGTGTGTCACGTGGCCTCCAGTGTGTCTGTGTGGCTCTCTAATCACTGTTTTCTCTTAATGTCGCCTGCACAGAACCTCCCCCTTTTCTGTAAAATAGGTCATGTTCATAGGCTCTGCATGGATGTGACTTGCGTGTGATGGAGAGATCAAAGGGCTTCACACGTGGCCACCATCTCTTTGGGCTCAGGGCGACATTTCCTCTCTCTTAGAAACCTCTGAGAACAGTTTGGAACGAGGGCTCCGAGACTGCAAACTAGAGGGCCTGGGTTGTTGGGTGTATGGCACTGCCTGCCCATGGGCTGCCTGCCTGTGGGAGACGGCATTCAGAAGTGCTGGTTGGACTTGGGGTACACATGTGGTCTCTGTCTGTGTGTTCTTGCTAGTGGCTGCACTTGGGGGGCACATGTGGCCTCCATCTTGGCTTCATGCCAGTTGGTGCACTTGGGGTGCACTGGCTCTTCTGTGTTTTCATGCCATTGGGAGTACTTGGGGTTATGGGTCCTGGTTCCTAGGCCCATGCCTAACCTCAGCATCTGCACCACCCCACCCCATTTGGTAGGAGAATAGAGGCCACGTTCCTATGCTGTGGAGAAGGTCCCTCTGCTACTTCCTTCTCTCCTGACCTGGCCCACACAAACAGCAGAACCCAGAGACCTTCTCTGAAACCCGCAGGTGAGAGGGACCTGGGGATGTGGGGAGGGCAAATTGCTCAGAGTGATGTTTGAGTTGCTGTTGAGAGCTATAACAACGCCTGACAAGATATCCTCCTGGTGGCTGGGGCACAGGGCACTGCAGAAGGGCTGGTCTCAGGGCAGGTGCACTCCTGCCATCCTGTTCTGTCCTACTCCATGGGGAACTCACGTGTGGGAGCCACGCCCACCACCACCTTGCAGGTGGGAGGTGACAGGCGCATGGATCTGTGTTTTGCAGGCAGCTCTAATGCCAGGGAGCCTATCTCAGGTCCAGAAACAGTGAGAGGCCCAGAGCGGGGCAACCTGTCTGTGCAGTGTCATTATGGCCGAGGATGGGAGACATACAAGAAGTACTGGTGTCGGGGAGCTGTGTGGAGTCACTGCAAGATTCTCATCATTACCACCGGGTCAGAGCAGGAGGTACGGCAGGGCCGTGTGTCCATCAGGGATCATCACAGAAGTCGCACGTTCACTGTGACCATGGAGCAGCTCCGTGAAGATGATGCTGGCACTTACTGGTGTGGGATGGAGAGAGTGGGAGCTGACTTTGGCGTGCAAGTTAAAGTGATTGTTGATTCAGGTAAGAACACTTCTCAGGTGCCACATGACCACCAAGCTGATGGTGGAGGTTTCCGACACCATCTTCTCTTCCTTTGTCCCGAGTCTATGTTCACAGGCGGGAATGTGAGTATGTGTGCCGAGACCCAGGGACTGAGAGTGGCTATGCTTTTGGATCAGTAGAGCACCAGGGATACATTTGTCCTCTTGCCCTCATGCTAGGAAATACAAGATTGGAAATTGAGATGCTGAGTGTTTGTGGGACTTGAATGGCAAATGGTTGATCCACAGGAGGGCAGAAAGCTGGGCATCCAGCTTGCCCTTGGGTGGAGACTCTGAGAGAGGGTTCAGGGGGATCCTGGTAGGCTCTTGGATTGGGGGGACATGAGCTGGAATCTGGGGATATGGAGATGGTCACAGGACTTGGTATCAGCATGAGTTGCAAAGAGGGGCACTCCACAGACTCCAGAGGGGGCCCCTAGCCTTGTGCAAGAGTATCCTGGTCAGTTCATGCAGCTGAGAGAACCCCTGGGCCTGTGCAAGTGCCACCCGACCCCTTTATTGGAGCAGGGCCCAGTTCTCCCCAGGAGCAGCACTACACCTGTTCCCATGAGCCAAACTGATGAGACTCGTGCTCCCTGGGGCACAGCATGGAGCAGTCACACACACGGTGCTGCAACTTGTGGAAAGCAAGCCTTGAGGGCTCACACTGTTTCCAAACAGTTTATAAAAGTCTGTGTGTGTATGTAACTGTGTGTATGTGTGTGTGTGTGAGAGAGTGAAAGACAGACAGAGAGAGAGAGAGAGAGAGAGATTTCAAGGACTTTCCTTATAGATAATCAAGTCATCTGCTAGTAAAGTCTTTCTGCCTTTCTTTCCTTCTGCCTTTCTTTCTTTCTCTCTCTTTCTCTTTCTCTCTCTCTCTTTCTTTCTTTCTAAAAGCTTATTCATTAGAAAGACAGAGTTACAGAGAGAGAAACATAGATCACCCATCCACTGGTTCACCACCCAGATGATCACATCTGGGGGCAGGCAGGGCCAAGGCTGGGCAGACAGAAGTCGGAGTCAGGAACTCCATCTGGTCTCCCATGTGGCATGCAGGGACCAAGCATTCAGATCCTCTGCTGCCTTCCCAGGTGCACTAGCAGGGAGCTATATGGGAAATGGAACAGCTGGGACTTGAACCTATGCTCATATGGATGCCAGCATTGCAGGCAGTGGCTTAATCCACTATGCCACATTGCCAGTCCTGAGAGTTTACTTCTTCATCTGGTGCTGGTTGCAATTCCAACATGAAACTGAGCAGGGAGTTGAGGGGTTCCCTGGCTTGCAGTGTGATTGTACCAGGAAAGGAAGTTGTGATGTCTTACCTTCAGAACATTCCAGAGGCTAGCTGAGTGTCTAAGCCCCACTGGGATGAGTAGAGTCTGATGCAGCAGGAATTGGCAAGGCAGGGGAAGCTGGGCCTTGAGATTCCTGACAGGATGTCCTCACCCCGTGCATGCCCCTCCCCCGGGGGGGGTGCGGGTAGGGATGGAGAAGTCACAAAGCTGTTAAGGACTAGGAGGGGCCCATGGTGGGAAGAGCACAGGTGCAGTTACGGGGCTGCCCCTCTCCCCAGCCTGGCCCAACCCTGGGGGCTGGAAAGCCTGGGTCCAGCACAAGAGACTCAGGGACAAGGCAGCCAGCCCAGTGGGATGCACCAGTTTGGAACAGGTGGCAAGGGGCTAGCCTCAGCTAGGTGGTTGAGGGTCAGAAAGAGCTATCACAGTCTGCGGGCAGGGACGCACCCTCTAGTGTGTGTGCCTGGTGATGGCAAGCTGGCACCTTGGTGCTCTTCCTTCCAGATTTCTGACCCAACACACACATGGTTTGGCTTCAGAGCAGAATCAAAATGGGGCTCTGGAGGCTAGCCAGAGCTTCATCTAGCAGGATAGGCTCTGGGGCCACACCCAGAGCCAGCTGCCCACAGAGGCCATGGACCATCACCTGCTTTGTATGTTTCACCCCAGGAATGAAAACCACAACAGATCTGTCTCCCACACCTCCAGTCACGGAGACCTCGGGGGGCCAACACGTGCCTCCTACCAGGTATGTGCAGTTGGCCCCGAACCCCTTGCCCACCAGGCTGGCCCTGAGGCTTTGCCCTTAGGAGGGTTGCTCGAAGGTGCAATTGGAAACGCAGCTGACCCTGAATGCATTTTTGTAGCATAAATCTTCCATGGGACATTCTTCCTCTTGAAAAGACACACATTGTTCATCTGAACTTTCAATTTAACTGGGCAGCCTGGACTTTTGATCGTGAGCATGGCAACGCTCAGGCTGGGACCCTTTAGCCCCTCTGAGGCCTCTTTGTCCATTTGCCTTTGAGGACAAGGCTGCAGGTCAAACCTGAATGGATTGGCAGACTCCTTCCTGCCTGAGCCCAGCCTTCCCCAGTACCCAGGAGGTCTAGAGCCTGCAGTGGGCAGGTGCCAGCTGTGAGCTCAGCTTCCTTGTTCTCCCTGTTTGGCAGAAGGCATATGGTGCCAGTCCAGTGTCACCAGCCTACTACTGGTCAACCAGTATCCACTCACTGGTTTCATTGCATCACAGCTTGCTGTGTGCATCCCCAGAGGCAGACACCCCACTCTCTGGCTCCTTTCCCCTGGATTGGCTGGGCAGAGTGGGTAACTTCCCACTCTACTGCCTCCATCCCATCTGTTCACTTCAGCTTAAGTTCTACAAATGAGTCTAAAGAACTCCACCCTTGCTTGGGGGAGAGATTCCTTTAAATCCTGTCTACACCCCTAATTCTTTTGTGTAAACACATGGCTGTGATTTTTACAGCTGGGAGTCAGCCGGCCGGAGGTCCAGAGAGAGGAGAGCTTGCATCGGGCATGTCTAAGGGTGGGAAGTTTTGGTCCCTGGCCTGCCAGGCAACCTCTCCTACACCTTCCAGGAGCAAGTTCGGTTCAAGTTCTGACTTGTGAGATAGGAGCAGGGAAGGAAGGAGAGAAAGAGGGGATCATGGGAAGCAGATAGAGAATGGCGGGTGTCAGGGGTTGGGGGTCGCTAAGAATTAGTTCATTCACTCCTGAGCACACTGACCCCGAAACCTTCCAAGGTGTGGCAATACCTGAAAGCCAGGTCAGCCCAGGGGTCGGGGAGTCGTGAAGAGAGCCCCCGGGGAAGGAGGCAGCAGAAACCAAGGCTAGAGGCACAGGGGACAGTGACTCCCATGGCCCAGCTGGGATGAAGACCAGGCAGAGGGAGAGGACCATGACCGTCAGGCTAAGCATGTCAGGTGCCAAGGGGACCTGAGGCCTGGCCTGCAGTCCATGGCTGTGCCCTTCCAAGGGGCTGGTCTGATAGGTCCTGAGCTTGCCCTCATGTAGCTACTAGAAGCGAGGGGCTAGACCCAGGGACTGCAGGAAGATCTCTGCCCCAGTAAACTAGCTCATTTGCTGTCATGGTGTCCCTGGCAGGTCTTGGCTCAGCAGTGACCACTCCCTGAACTTGTTCCTGCTCCCGATCTTCCTGAAGCTGCCCCTGCTCCTGGGCACTCTCGGGGCTGTCCTCTGGGTGAGCATGTGGTGGAGAAGCCCTGAGTGGCAGGCAGAGCCTGCCCAGTGGGAACTAGCAGCCGCTGTTCCCGACCAGACTGAAAGACCTTCAATGAAGACAGAATCTTTCCATTAGGAAGTGACCGTGGCCTCGGGAATTCAGGGAGGCACAGCTGAGAATGAGAGACGAGCACAAAGCAGGAGTGAATGAACTCGATATAAAGATGTATGCACGGACAAAACCAGGCACAGGAGACTGGAGACTCCATGTCTGCACGCTGGCTGTTCCCGAAGAGTAGGACTAACCCAAACATGAGAATGATTCAGTTGGATTGCAACCTATCCTCCAGCCTGCCCCGAGAAGACACATGGTGTCCCAGGGGTGAGAGTGATGCCAAGGACCCACACCTGGAGTATTGCACAGTAACACAGCGTGGAGGATGGAGATAGGCTCAAATGGGCTGCCCATCACAGAGGGCGGGTGGTGCCCAGGAAAGGGGTCGGGTGTTCTCAGGCCTCCCAGCAGCACACGGTCATCAGTGCCAGGGTTTGAGAAGGAAATTGGAACACAGTGTGCAGGAGCACAGCCCAGGGCATCTTCTTGTGTGGACTCTGAACTCCCTCTGTGATGGAACGTTTACAGCTTGGTTGCTCATAATTCCTTGGATTATTAGAAAAAAATAGAGTGAAACTAAACGTCGACTTGCAAGATCCGACTGAGGAGAGAAAGGCTTCAAGAAAGCAGCAAGAGGAGCTCAAGCAGAGGATGGGGGTCAAGGTCAAGGCCAAGGTCGGTGGGTGTACAGGGAACCGGAGGTTGGAGAGCAGTGGGGACTGCAAGGACTGCAGGGACTTCCATGGTCATTGTGCCAGGCGTTAATAAAGTACACAAGCTTTATGAGAAAATGCAAGTCCTCCTCGTTCATAGTGGAGAGTCAGTCGATGGTTTAAGTGCGTTCTTAGAAAGAAGGTGGCGTGGGGCTGAAGGCTGAGGCTGGGGCTCTGCTCATGATTATTAGTGTTATCATTATTATTTAAATTTATTTATTTTGTTGGAAAGGCAGATCAGATTGATAGGGAGGCAAGAGCAGAGAGAAAGACTGTCTACTTTGCTGATTCACTCCCCAAATGTCGCCACAGCTAGAGCTGAGATGATCCGAGCAGGGAGCCAGGAGCTTCTTCCAGACCTCCCATGCAGTGCAGGGTCTCAAGAACTTGGGCCATCCTCGACTGCTTTCCCAGACCGCAAGCAGGGAGCTGGATGGGAAGTGGGGCTGCCGGCACATGAACTGGCACGTGCAAGGCAAGGATTTAGCCATTGAGGCATCATGCCAGACTCTGATCATAAAGCAAGTTTCACCATTTGTTGCCTTTTGTTAACTGATGCATGAAAGTTGACCACAGTGATGTTTGGAGAGCTGTGTCCATCATGTGATGTTCCATATATGTCACTCTGGTCACTTTATGGTCAAAACATTTGAACTCCATCCTTCTTACTTGGCGAAAGCTTCCTGCAGCACCTGGTGGCTTTCTAGAACCACCAGGTTTAGGAGCTGAGCCACTGGGCAGCTTTGGACCTGTATGGTTCCTATGGGACTCTCAGCCAGCTGCTGATGTGGGGCCTGCCTCTGCTTACAGTGCCTGGGGCTCAGCAGACACCCCAGCCATGGCTTTGGATTAGGAGGGAGTCACAGGGCAGCTGTGAGATCCAGCCTCCAAATAAGCGCAGCCTCAGTCCTCACCCCCAGAGGAACCCGTGGCCTGGCAGGGAGACTCGGCTGGCAGGGCCCTTGACGGGCTGGGAGCACCCTCTGGGAGGCAGGCAGGTGGCATTGGAGACCCTGCCTCAGCTCTGGTCATGGGGACATGGCTCTTCTCAGCGGGCTCTGGGACAAAGCAGATGTTCCTCCAACGTGTGTAGGCCTCGTCGAAGCGGTCCTGCTTGCAGGGAGGGGCATTATTCAGAAGGCCAAAGGCAGCTGGGAAGGCCACAGGAAGGCGTTGCGGTTCGGCCACAGAGGCTTCAGGAAGGGGTAGATGCTGTAGACAAAACCTGTGATTGAAGGATCAAGATGTGTATTCATTTGCAAGATAGAGTTATAGAGAAAGGGGCGGATGAAAGAGAGAGAGATTTCCCATCTGCTAGTTAACTCACAAGATGGTTACAATGGCCAGAGCTGAGCCAATCCAAAGCCAGGAGCCAGGAGCCTCGAGTCTCATCCAGGTCTTTCACATGGGTGCAGGGTCCCAAGGACTTGGACCATCCTCTGCTGCTTTCCCAGGCACATAAGCAGGAGTCTGTATCAAAGTGGAGATGCTGGGACTCAGTTCCCATGTGGGATGCTAGTGCCACATGTAATGTTTTTACCCAATATACCACAGGGACAGCCCTACAATGTTTCTTTTTTCACACTCCCTGGGCTCTGTGATCTTGAGGCAAGGGTCTCCCTCCAGGTGGCTGACACGGTAAATACTTTACTGGTGAAGTAGATGGTGATGGGTGATGTGTTAAACATAGTAGTGGGTGCTAGGTACATTGGACAGAATCACCAACTGCCCTAGGCACTGTCAATCCAGACCTGAGCTGGGGAACTGTGCCCTGCAAGCTGGGGCAGCTATAAGGAGAGCAGCTTATCTGGTCCCACCCATCTCCCTAGCCTGCAGGAGGCTCTAGGGCCTCAGAAGCAGGAGGAGGAGCAGGCCCTGAAGGGACAGGAGGCATGGGAAGGGCTTTGGACAAGGCAGCTCAGATAGCCCCAGGACAGAGCCCCACTCTAGCTGACCACTCATTTCCTCAACAGGGCCTCAAGGACCAGGAGAGAGCAGGCCCATGACATACCTGCCCCTTACCTGGGTCAACGATCACTTTAACTGACACCCCAGGGTCAGCCCCGACTTTTTCAATCCCACACCAGTAAGTGCCAGCGTCATCCTCACGGAGCTGCTCCATGGTCACAGTGAACGTGCGACTTCTGTGATGATCCCTGATGGTCACACGGCCCTGCCGTACCTCTTGCTCTGACGCAGTGGTAATGAGGAGGGTCTCACAGTGACTCCACTCAGCTCCCCGACACCAGTATTTCTTGTACGTCTCCCATCCTTGGCCATAACGACACCGCACAGACAGGTTGCCCCGCTCTGGGCCTCTCTCTGTTTCTGGACCTGAGATAGGCTCCCTGGCATCAGAGCTGCCTGCAAAACACAGATCCATGCGCCTGTCACCTCCCACCCATACACAGTGACTGGGTCCCTAATGCCCGTGGAGAAGGACAATCAGAATGGCAGAAGTGCACTTTTCCAAGACCAGCCCTTCTGTGGTTCCCTATGTCCCAGCCACCAGGAGATTCCCTAAAAACACAACTGCACACTCACAGTGCTCAGGGCCCACCACAGTGAGGGGAGATGCAGGCTTCTATTTGCCAAGAGACTCTCAAGTTCATGTTGAAAGATTGAGTTCTACAGGTGGCCTTGGTTTTGATCTGTCCTGGAACCCTTACAAGTCTGGAAATTGTCAAGTTAGGCAGTCCCTGCCTTCCTGTGAGTGTGTTAATGAAAGTGTCCACCTCTGTGTCTTGATATGCTGCGTTTGGCTACCAACTCGTCATCGTTGTTTTCATGAACCCTGTTTGGATGAAATCTTGAGGCTGCTTCAGGGCCCTCCCAAGCCAGAGGCCCCGACCCTCTCCATTTCAACAGGTCTACATTACCAGCTGAGGCAGTCACTGGGCCACAAGCCGAGTCTGATTTCCATGAGGACTGCAGAAAAACAACAAAGCTACCCACACCCCTGAGAAGAAAGATGAGTGTTTGAGTTTGGGAACAATTCTTTGCACCAAGAAGGAAAGATAACATTAAGGGAGATCGTTAAGAAAAAAGAATGCAAAAAAACCAGATGTGACCAGCTATAAAAATATGGTTGGATGGTGCTGTGCTATATCGCCTTAAGCTGCTGCTTACAATCCCAGCATTTCACATGGGTGCTGGTTCAAGTCCTGACTACTCCACCTTCAATGTTACCTGCTAATATAGGTCTGGGGAAAGCAGCCGAGGATGGCCCAAGAGCTTGGGCCCCTCACCCACATGGGATGCCTGAAGGAAGTTCTTGACCCCTCAATTCTCACTTTGGGTCAGCCCAGCTCTGGAAGTTGTGGCCATTTGGAAAGTTACCCAGCAGACAGAAGATTTCTCTATGTCACTTCTTTAGTCTGTGTCGCTCTGCCTTTCAAATAAAACACTCATTAAAAATAATACATGGAAAATAAATATCAGGATATGTTGTTGTGGTACAGTAGGCTAAGCCAGCACTTGCAATGCAGGTTTGGATCCTGGCTGCTCTGTTTCTGATCGGGCTCCTTGCTGATGCACCTGGGAAGGCAGCAAATGATGGTCCTTGGTCCTTGAGCCTTGGACATTGCCACCAGGCTCCTGGCTTCAGCCTGACCGTTTGGGAAGTGAGCAGGTGGGGAGAAGATTTCGCTCTGACCCTCCATCTCTCTCTGTCACTCTTTCAAATAAACAACTCTTTACAAACACTGAGGAAGGAAACAAAAACTTGATCAAGAATAAAATTATCACAAAAATGGATCTGCTTACAGACCAGGTTAAAAATGCATCAAGATGCAACACACTTTAACACAAAGGCAGCATTACCCAACAGAACTCAAGTGACACAGCCAGAGCTGTATTCAGAGTTACTTCTCAGAAAATATTTGCCCATTTCCCCAGAAATGCAAATACACAGTGAGTGCGTCACACAGTCTCAGACACTGCCCGTTGCTCTAGCAGTGTGCACGAGCCTCGGCGCTCCATCGAGGAGAGTTTATGACAGCTCTGCTATTGAAGGTCAGGGTCCAGCATGTGCCCCAGCCATGCTGGGGAGGCCTTCTTTTTTTTTTTTTAATTTATTTTTATTGCAAAATCAGATATATAGCGAGGAGGAGAGAGAGAAAGTAAGATCGTCCATCGATGATTCACTCCCCAAGTGACTGCAACGCCCGGTGCTGCACCGATCTGAAGCCGGGAACAGGAACCTCTTCTGGGTCTCCCATGTGGGTGCAGGGTCCCAAAGCTTTGGGCCATCCTCGACTGCTTCTCCAGGCCACAAGCAGGGAGCAGGATGGGAAGTTGATCTGCTGGGACTAGAATTGGTGCCCATATGGGATCGCAATATGTTCAATGGGAGGACTCTAGCCACTAGGCCATGCCACCGGGCCCTGGAGAGGCCTTCTGATAGCACCTCAGCTGGCAGAGGTGTCTGCTGGTAGGGAGCAGGGTGGTATGTCAGTGGGCAGGGTATCTGGCAGAGCAGGTGGCCAGAGCGATGAAGGAGTGGGCTGCTCTCTGGATGGGAGCTGCCCTCACAGGAGCCACCTCAGCAGGCTCAGAATGGCATCAATGCAGCCCAACAGTGCTGCCCACAACCTCACCACCTCCCTGAGCACCAGAAAGTGCTTAAAGGCTCCACCACCTCAGCACTGCCACCCTGGGGGCCGAGCTTCCAACACCCTGTAAGGCAGGATGGTGCGGGATGAGGGAGTGGCAGTTTACAACCAGAATATATCCAAACCACAGCACCTGGCCATTCTACTCCTAGGCACACACCAAAAGAATGGAGAACTTGTGCTACTGCAGACAGGTGTGCAATGGGATGGAGAGATTGTTGACAATCTCCAAAATCGGCAGCAGCAGCTCAACAGACGGCCAGATACACAGCAGGTGGTCTGTTGGCAGTGGAATAGTGCACAGCATAACCATGAATGAGGTGCTGGCTCAGGCTGTGACATTAACAGACCTTGAAAATGTCATGCTGAGTGGAGGATCCCAGACTGGGAAGAGGGCACATGTGGCAGGAGTCAAGTGCATTCACGCGACATTTCCAGAACAGGGCACTCCAAAGAGATGAGACAGTGGAAGGGGAAGCCACGGGCTGGTGTCAGGGGAGGAGAGGGCCCACTGCTGGGTCTGGAATTCTTTTTGAGGAGATGACCACATCATGGAGTGAGACGGGAGATTGCTGCTCAGCTTCGTTAGTACACTAACGGCCACTGCACTCTCGGAGGAGGGAACTGTGCGGCAGCACGTGCGTGACACCTCTGCTTCCAGAAGCAGACAGAAATGCTTTCTTCACCTTCGACTTGCTCAGTTACTGTCTGAAAGGCAGGCGGTTAGCACAGTGTCTTAGAGAAGATGGCAAGTGGCAATCCCAGGGAGGTAAGAGGAAGTGATTACAGGATCACCCGCAATTGTTCTGGCCTGCACTGTGCCTTGACCTAGAAGGAGGTGGTCTTTGCTGCTCTCTGCACATTTGCTATGTTTATGTGGGTCGGTGAGGCATCAGGTGGTGCTGGGGGTTGGCATCTCTCCGAAGATAGTAATTCCCCACCAAATGTCAGGACCCTTTAATTCTGTACCCACTCTGTGAGGTGGAGCTGTCGTTCTTCTTAACTGACAAATTGATGAGGTCCGGTAACACCCTGGATTGGCATGTGCAAGAGCCAGACTTTGTGGGAAGCTATCGCAGCATCTCCCTTCCAGGGGAAGGACTGAGAGCTGGAAGTGTCTGTGAGAGATGACATGTGTCAGTCTGATCACTGAGTAGCAGTTGCCAGAGTCTCAAATCTAGACGTCTTACTTCACGTGCTCAGAAGTCCTAGGACAGGAGTTGAGAACTGACCTGGTTTTCATTCTTCCACCTTTCTGCCCATCTAGGGGACACTGGCAAGGATGCAGTGAATTGCACCTACAAGAATGAGGATGACTGTGTGGTCAGATCCCAGTACTACGAAGACTTAGTGGCAAGTCCATCCTGTGTGTGGCAGAAGAGCCAGGTGAGGCCCTGCTCCTGCCCCGGGGAGAGGGAGTCACATCAGGCAGGGATTTCCACTCATATCCCTCTTAGGTAGAACAGGGTAAGCCTGACCTTGTAGAGCTGAGTTACTGTGTCATCTGGGTGAGGGGGATATGTAAAAGTGACTTTTACTCATTGAGGAAAGAGCAAAAATAAGCTGCGTAGGAAGGGTAGGGAGGTAGGTATGGATTTCATCTAAGTCCAAGGAGTTAAAAATTGAAATTCTACACTTTACAGCGCATGTCAAGTGAGGCGGCTGCCAGGAGCTGTTTGTCCGTCCAGGGGAAGGCCGGATGGTTGGAGGGCGGTTGGAGGCATTGCTCTTCACAGGCTCACCACGGGACGTAGTCAGGGGTCGGAGGCATTGACTCAGTTTTGTCCTGGATGACTTGCTGCTGCAGCAGACCCCTCCTCCGTTGTAGGGAAGGGGACCCCAGATCCCCAGGCTCACATTGCTATTTCATCGCCTTGCTCTTTCCCTGGCTTGAAGTAGAATGCAGTGGCCAGGGACCCAGAGCTTAGGAGGAAAGTGTTCTCTTTCTCTTCTTCAACACTTACTAAGATGCTCCCCACCGAAGGGCTGAGCCACCGCAGGGCAGCAAGAGGGCGTCACCAAGGGGTTTAACATTGGCCGGTGTGGAACGGGCTCGTGGCCTAGAGATTCATCACTTCTAGATAGTTGCCGGGTAAAACATAGTATGTAGCATGTAATATATGCTATCTACTTAGGTTACAAAGTAGTTTGTTGTCTGTCTGAGTATGGATTTATCCGGCTGTCTGTACTTTTGTTTGCTGAATTAACCCTAGTCTTCTCTGACCTTGGGCCACTCATCATGAGCCCACTGCTCTGGCTGAGGGTGTTCCCCGGAGACTGCCTGATCTTGTCGCTGCTTTAGGGAGTCTGCCACTTAGCCCTTGGAGGGCAAATGGCTAACAGTTTTCCTGCAAAGACCTCCTGAGGTTCTGCCTGTCCTGGGGGCTGCCCTACCCCAATCTCCTGGAGACTTCACAATGGTTTTTTTCCAGAAGAACTGGGGCCCTTCATTCCAGGGAACACACTTGGTTCCTTAGCTCCTCTCTCCAGGAACTCCATTTGTTAGAGGCAGGTTATAATTTGGAGGGTTGGGAAGCTGCCACCTTGGGTTTGTGGTGGTGGTTGTTTTTGAGTGGTGTCTGGCGAGCACAGTGTGTATGTTTAGAGAAGAAGGTGGGAGATGGTGTGGGCTGTGGGGATGACTTCCTTTCCCGGTACATCACTCCTCACACATACAAACACCTGCTTTCATCCACTTGAGGCTGCCAGAGTGGGTCACTTGCCCACCACTGGAGGCTCCTGGGAAGGTCTCTGCAAGACACACCCAGATTGACCCTTGGTGGCTGACATATGCCTGTTTGTGTTGGGTGCTGACCAGGGTCAAAGAGAAGTCAGCTTTCAACAGAGCTGGGGTTTTAGATAACCAAAATGTCTGAGAAAAAACCCAAAATATTGTTATAGCCAGGAGGCCTGTTCTCTGAGAATGCTGAAAAAGTTGCTAGGTTAGCATCCCTCATCAACGTCAGCATCTGAACCAGGGTGGCACCCACGAGGAACACCTGTAATAATACTGGCTGGCTCTTTGAGCATTCATTCTGTGTCAGGCGCTGTTCTGAGTTCCTTAAATGGAGTGAACTTAGCCATTCCTTGTATGACAAAGTCGAAAAGTCAGTGCTATTACTTTTCTGTTTTAATGATAGAGAAATAGGAAACAAAAGCCCAGAAGAAAGGCCCAGTAATTTCCCAGAGGTCATGCAGCGCAGAAGCAATAAGCCAGGACTCAGACCCAGGCATCTGTGCCTTCACTCCCCTCGTGTGAATGTGTCTGGCCATGGTCACCTGTTGACAGCAGCAAGAAGGCAAGGTCGCTGGAGAGGGAGCCAGAGGAAGCCTTGTGCCCCCTGGTGTCTGAGGCAGGACGGTGCAGGATGTGTCTGAGGCAGGCCCTTCCACAGGGGCCAGCTGCATGGAGACCGTCTCCCAGCCGTGGGCTCGGACTGGGTGCTGGGCAGTTGGCCACTGGGGAGACAAGGAACAACCCTAAACAGTGACTGCTTTTTCATACTCAGGACTCTTCTGATGACACTCTTTTTAAAAATCACTTTTTTCTTCCTTTCTGTTGCTGCCATTTCATAGACTTAAGCTTGGGTTAATTTTTCTTCCTATGTGGTAACCAAATCTTGGTGACTCCGAGCCTAAACTGCTGGGGATGTATGTCTGTACACTGACACTCAGTTTCCTGGTAACGAAAGCATTCTCGTCCTTTCTGACAGAACCAGAACCAACGACAGGGAATCCCAAAGCGGAATTCCTGAAGATACTGCAGGCCCAAAAGAGGAACAGTAACGGAATTAATTATTAATTCAGAGGTGGAAAAATCAGAGAAACATAAGCTTGATCTTCTAGACTCTATGAATGAGCAGCTAGACTTGAATGCAAAAGGTGTTGTTATCAGTTTGCTAAATTACATACTGCGTTATTTCTCAGCCAGCGATCTAGAAGACGTAGAGTCAGTGTTACTACCCTTCATTAAATTGCTCTTTTCCAGTCCACAAGAAGAAGATAGATCTGTGGATCACTTGAAAAACAATCCACAAGACTTCTCTGTAAAACTTAACAAACATCAATTCAGAAAGATCCACTTTCTGGAAAATTTGATAAACTCTGCAATTGAACAAAAACTGGATGATGAGGTTAAAAACACCAAAAAAGCTGTCGTGCTGATGCAGCCTCCGTTAGATCTGAAAGCAAAACGACTATTCTTCCTAAGGAAGTTAGAAAGTACCGGATCACAGCACATCAGCCGGGGGCCAAAGGGCCTGAGGAAAAGGCAGCAGCGGGAGACAATCGGGAGGAGAGAGAACGCGCGCCCCCTGGTGGAGGGCACCGTGCAAGGCCGGCTGGGGAGCGCAGGAGCTTCATGTGGCCCAGAGGCCCTGGCACCTGGGGGCCAACTCCTTCTACCCAGGGCCCCCACTCACAGAGAGCCTCCCTCTTTCCTGAAGAAGTACATCGCGGGCAGGCCATCTGCTGCGGCCCGTGCAAAGTGTCTCTCTGAGCCAGAGAAAAGGCTAATTGACATATTTATAGCAAAAATGCGAGCAAAAAAGGCAGAGACAGCAGAACCAAACACAGATTGCCATTTCAATAACATTGATCTTGCTCCAGTGTTCAAAACCCCCAAAGCCAAACGGAGACTGAAGTTGAGAAGGAAGAATTCCCTCAAAACATGGAGCTCCGTAAAGAGGCCCGCGTTCCTTGCCCTACAGAGTCTCATCAATTCCCCTCCCCGAGAGCCTTCTCCCTCTTCTGGAGACCCGAGTTCTCAGGATTTTCCTTCTCCGGAAGCGATGGCTCTTCCAGTACCTCCTACAGAAGACATTCTTGAAGCCAGCCTTGCTGCAGGAAATGACTTAGGAAACACTTTGAAAGACAGCATGGCTGTGCCAGAAGAATCTCCCCCTGCCAGCGCAGTCCAGGAGCATCCATTGGCCGCTGGTTCCCCTGAGACTGCCCCCAACTCAGTAGTGGTCACTGAGCAAATGCAATGGGGGAACCCTAACATGGGCAGGGACATCCCCTCCATGCCCACAGGCAGTACTTACCCCTTGCAGTCATCCCCAGTGCACCAATTGGAAAGTCAACTGAACCAGCAGCTTTGGTCCCTCATCCCCAATAATGACGTGAGAAAATTCATCTCAGAAGTTATCAGGACTCTGCAGATGGACTGTGCGGACCCCCAGGTGCAGCTGTCCTGTGCCAAGCTCATCTCCAGAACGGGCTTCCTCATGAAGCTCCTCAGTGAGCGGCAGCAAGTGAAGGCCAAGGCAGAATGGGACACAGACCGCTGGAAAGAAGAGGACTACATCAGCGAGAGCCCAGGAGGCCAGACTGATGCAGGAATGATCGAGCCAAGTGAGGTGAGGACGGCCACGAGACCGGAGAGCTGCCCTTTCCTGTCGCTCAGGAAGTGTCATTAAAGCCCCAAGGAGGAAGAACAGGGGCTCCCAGTCCATATCTTGCATTGGGCACATAACTTTGGCCAAGGTGGCAATTTCCCACTTTGCTCCTTTAGAGAATGAAGCAGACCTGACAAGCTAGATGAACTGTAGAGTACCCGTGTGATAATCAGATCGTGTAACATTGGATCTTATGTGGTCTTGAAGATCCTACAAGCCACTCACCTGGAAGAATACGGGCTGGAATAGTTAAGTGTTCATGCTCTCTTTATTTGATCTCTTTTCATTGCTCTTTTAGCTCAAAGAAGTCCCAAGATACAGCCTTAACAAAATACTCATCATGGCAATATCTGTCACTGTAGCTGTGATGATCTTAATAACGGGAGCCTGTCTCGTTGGGGTAAGGACAACGATTCACTTAGGTTTCTAGAACATCCTTTTTCTTTTTTTTTTTTACAACAGATTTGAATGCAGAGTGAACATCAAAGCCACTTGCCCACATACTGCCAGTTGACGTTCTTCTATGGTCACAAAGACATACTCTCCTGAAAAGCATATGCTTGAGATTTTGAATAGACCCTACTCCCAGGAAATCTCAGTGCAACTGGAAACTAGGTAGCAAGCCAAGCCACTGGCTCTTGTGAGAGGTGGAAGACCAGACTTCATAGATAACAAGATTTCCCCACAGCTATGTCAACTGTTTGATGTGCTTACCACTCCCCTCTCTGCTCCTGTTGGTCTCTCTTCTCGTTGTTGAAAGGATGAGCGCTGTATCAGCACCCTCACCTCACAGAATGGTTACTGTCCTCAGGACACTACCAGAAAACATGTTAAAGATTCTACCTGTTCTAATACATAAGGCAGGTCTAAAGACAGGTTGTTTATGTACCTGAATGTAACTGAATCCTGCTTCCTAAGCTGAACCCTGAGGAGTGCTGTATTTATCCTATCCCATTCCTGGAGCCTGACTCTGTTCACCTATTGTTCAGTTACATAAAGTGCATTACTTTTCCCAACAGGAAAGGGCTTGAATATGAAGTCATTGAAAGATCTGACGGTCTTGACTACCCTAGCAGTCCAACCCAGTTTACTTCACTGACACTCTTCCTGTCATGTCAGCCCTGTCTGTGTTCCTGCCTGAGTGGCCCCTTACCGTACCCCAGCCACACCACAGCCATTCCTACTTTCACCTGTGCCTTTTCTACCTAAAATTGGCCCCTTACCGTACCCCGGCCACACCACAGCCATTCCTACTTTCACCTGTGCCTTTTCTACCTAAAATTCCCTCACTTCATAGCATGCCTTGACTCCTCCAACTCTCTTGGGACTAAACCTTCTGTGAGATGGATCATCGTTTCTGTGAAACCACAGGGAGGTATTTCCTCTCCCCTGAGAACTTTAAAAATGTGGCAGTTTTCACAAAGGGAAGTGCCAAGGTCAACACGCGAGGGAGCACAGCAAAGGTATATAAGGACGAAAGAGCTTCCCGGGTCTATTGGCCTCCGGTAACACCCGCCTAGTGTATCACTGTTTCTAAAGGCAGACACGCCAGCCACAGCAGGGGATGGTGACAGGAGCACAGAAAGATGAGAGCCCACCAGCATGCTAGTGGCCATCCTGACATTGCACTAGGGCAGAGGGACAGCCCCAGGCAGATGTGGAGGCAGCCCCCTGGTGAGTCTGAGCCTCTGCAGGAGAGGGACAAATCTGGCCACTCCAGACCTTTCCATTAAACGCTGGGTTCAGCTGATTCCTTTGCATCTTTGCCCTTCCCAAGTTGCCTTCTGATGGTGCTTGAGTGTGCCATGGAGGCCTGCCCCTGCAGAGGCAGCTCCCTGGTCATGCAGTCACAGCTGTTCTGTCTTTTCACTCAGGCTGTGCTGCTGATCAGGTGAGGTTGTTTCCAGTGAGTTTGCTGCTTGTGAAAACAGTCTGATTTCTGAACCCAGGAGCTGGGAGCCACATGGGGTCAACTGCCAAGGGGTCGGCGGAGACAGTATCCTGGATATCTCCAGGTGGCCCCTGGTCTTTGCCTTCGGGGAAATGGCTGAAATTTTGATCAAGTCCTGCGTTATTTTAATGTGTATGTTTAGTTCTGGCTTACTTCTCTTTGTATTCATTCATGTTTTCCTGAGTTCCTCTCCCCAGTTAGATGAGAAGGTTTGTGAGGTCAGGGAGTATGCAGAGTTTTGCCTGTATTAGAAAGATAGTAAGTGTTCAGAGGATCAGAGTTAGGTACAATGTCAAGTTTACGGTGAAGAAGAATGCAATATAATATTCATTTGAAGCAGCATACAGAGTTGAGAGTTCAGTAATACATAGACATGTGTGTTCCTAAAACTTCTGCAGTGTTGCCTCTAGCCTAATCAGTTTGAGAAAACGCTGCCTAGCTGCCTAAGAACTTAGGGTGAATGGCAGACAGTGATAGATGGATACTTCTCATCCTAAATGTATTTCAGTTAATGTCTTTAAAAAAAAAAAGACAAAAAGATACTGAGAATAAATTTCAAGCAGTATTTTTCAGTCTTGGGATGGAAAAGAGCTTTCTAAGCCCAGTGGCATAGGAGAAACCTTTGAAAGATTTGTCTGCCTGTGTGTGACACTGCTAGCTGACTCAGCACTTGGGGAGGTCAGGCTTGGGGCAGAGTCTCCCCTGTGTTCTCAACTTAGCCCTTGCAGCAGTTCCCCTTTCACAGGTCATGGCAATCAAGCTATGGGCCCAAATGACAAAGCCAACGTCAGACCCAGATCTCCTGACTGCAAAGAATGCATTCCTCATTCCCTTTGTTCTCTTTCCCTTCCTTACAAACACACTGAGAAATACTGGAAACACTTGAACAAGAAAAAGGCCACCAAAGAGATTAATATATTTATTGTATTTAAAAAAAAAAGGTTTCTAAACCAACAACAGCAAAATAAAAGCTAACATCCCAACAGAAGGGGGCGCACTCTGGGATGGATAGGGAGTTGCTAGCACACATCCCTGCACCTGCCAGTCTCACATTTTGCTGATGGGATCTGAGTTTTGTTAGGTTCTTGAAACTGATAGAGTAGTAGTATATTTTCTTCTAGGACTCTTGTAACATTTTGTTCTAATTTCTATTTTGTAATCCCTCTGGAGTTATTTTTCAATATGATTGAAGTAGGGAATCTAGCTTATCTTTCTCTACATGAGTTTCTAAATCTTCTAAAATAATTTTTCTTTGAACAGTTCACTCATTCCTTACCAATCTAAAATGTCCTGATCTGGACTCTGCTCTTTCCGTCGACTCTGTGGTCTTTTCTTCCACCCATACCTGTATCACACAGGTAAACTCCAGTCACTTTATGGCTTAGTTCTGAGTTTTATATTTGTTAGAGCGAGCTCCTGCTCTCTCATGTTTCTTGCACTATTCTTGCCCATCATTCCCCACTGAATGGCAGCCGGTCAGTTTTGTAAAAATGTATCTTTGGATTTGTATAAAACTGAATTGAATTATTTTGATTAATTGATTAATTTGAGGTTAATTGACATAATCACAACATTATAGGAATGCAAGTCTCATGGCTTTCAAAAGGGCTTTAGTGTTTTCATTACACAATCTTACACATCTTTTGTTGAGCTTATTCCAGGATAAGCTTTAATCCTTTCTGTTGGTTACAAACGGGACCCTTCTTGTGTTTTCCCATTAGTTGTTGGCAGCACACAGGAAAGCTACCACAGCATGTATGTTGATCTCTTGACCTGGTGTCTGGCCAACTTTCTGGACTCGCATATTACTTTCCACAAAAATGGTAGTTGATTTTCTTGGGTTTTCCGAGTTGTCCATCATTTCACATTCAGATGACATCTGTTTTGTCTTCCTTTGTGACACAATACTGTATTTGTCTTTTTGAAAAATTGATACTCAAGATTTACCTATTCTTATTGGAGAGACAGTGCTGTTCCACCCATCGGTTCACTCTAAATGTCTGCAACAGCCAGAGCTGGTCTGAAGTCAGGAGCCTGGAGTTGCTGTGGGTCTCCCACACAGGCACAGGAGCCCAAGCACTTGGATCATCCTCTGCTGCTTTACTCAGGCTGTTGGCTGACAGCTGAATCAGAAGTACAGCAGCTGGGACTCGAGCCCTTGCACAAATGGGATACTGCACTACAGGTAGAACTAAACCTAAACACCATTGCACTAGTCCCTATTTTAGGGCCTCCTCAACAGTGGTAAATAGTAGCAATCCTACTAAGCAGCCTAGTCTCCTTGACTTCTCGGTTTAGTTTTCTGATCCAATTAAAGATGCTTCATCTTTTCCTCTTCAAAGAGGTTTCATGGAGAATTGTCTGCTGAAAGTTATCTAAACAGCCAGTAAAATGTATTAGGCGCCAGATACATACAAAAAGAAAGGCATGCAAATGATCTGGACATTGTGGTCACTGTGTTGCATAATAATGGCTGTGTCTTCTTCCAAAACAGATTTACTCTCACAGGGCAAGAGCCGACGCCGAGGAGGAGGACATAGGAAAAGGTCTAAGGTAAGTACCAGCCCAGTAATGTGTGAAATGAAACTCGAGAACTAGAAGAGAACACATGGATTCCAGTCACCTCATTGCTTAGTGAGATCTCCACAGACAGGAAGCATACTTCACAGCTGGGGTAGACAGCACCACCATGGCACCTCTGCTGTCCCCAGTCCTTCTTGGATGCAGGGGCTGGGGAGGGACTCCAGCTGTGCCATCCCTGCAGCTGACAGTACTTTGACCATACCAGAGGGCTTCCTGAAGGCTTCCAGCAAGGGCTAGGGGAGTCTGTGTTGCACTGTGGGAGGAGCTGGTCTCCTTAAAGAAGGCAGGAAAAGTTCTTCTCATCCTGCTTGTCTTTATTTTTTTTAATCTGTTTTTCTTTTTTTTTTTCTTTAAGATTTACTCTATTTTTATTAGAAAGACAGATTTACAAAGAGAAGGAGAAACAGAGAAGGATCTTATGGGTCTCCCGTGAAGGTACAGGGTCCCAAGACCTTGGGCCATCCTCCACTGCATTCCCAGGCCACAGGCAGGGAGCTGGATGGGAAGTGGAGCTGCCAGGACACAAACTTGTACCCATCTGGAATCCCCGCAAATGCAAGTCGAGGATTTAGCCAATGAGCCATCACACTGGTCATGTCTTCTCTCTTCTAACCAAGCTTCTAAGAGCTTTAACTGGAAGAGATCTTCAAACTAAAGAGAAGTCTGTCTCTTCATTGTGTGACAAGGAAACGAGAAAGAGGCAGCATCTTGGCCCCAGGGTTATACTGTTAACATCAGAGGAGGGTCTCTTCCCAGCTGGGGCTCCTCTCTGGCTTGTAAGGGTTTGGGGCTGTGAGCTACGTTTTCTGTCAGAAATCAGCACCCATGTACCACACAGGCACAGTTGCTGAAAACAATGCACTCTCCTGTTCTGCTGGATTCATAAGGGGTATCTTGGTGTCAGTGCGAGCCTCATCCTTTAACTGATTTCACTAATCACTCTCCCATCAGTGGCACCTGCAGTGTGAGGCTGCATGAGCTAGGTGACTGCTGTCAGACTCGGGCCCTGCCTGCTGTGACCCAGTTCACAGGGGTCAAGGACTGTGCACATAGAGGCACCTTCTCCCTCACCCCCAGGTGAAGGAGGCATGTGAGACTCAGTCCCGGTGGGGCTGGTGCCAGATGCTAAAGGAGGGAGACAGTGCACGTACCCCATGTGGTTGTGCGGTCTGTCACTGCACAAGGGTGCTTGGGGCTGACGACCTCACACAAAGCAGTGGTTCAAGTTGGCCCTTAGCCACTGGGGCACCTTCAGGCAGATCGGAGAGCTCCCAGGAGCCCAGATCCCAGGTCTGTGGTGATTTTGCTTTGTGGTATATGTGGGACAGGGACACGTTTTGTCCCGGGCACACCAGAGATGCGCGGGCCATGGAGAGTGACACCAGTCTCTGATTGGCTTGGGCATTTGTTTTCCCCCAGCGACCTTTACGAAGATTCCCTCAAGCAAAGACGCGAGAAGAAGCAGGTAAACTGAGGCACACGGTGTGTCGCTGGGGGAAGGAGTGGCGGGAGGAGGGGCAAAATATGCATTCCCCTCCCCATTCCTAGGGGTGCTAAACCTCCTGCATTTTCCTAGGTGGGCTTCTTGGTGAGGTGGCTGCGCTGGCTGAGGGGTGAGCGCAAACCCCGCCGGGCAATGAGCCGGAAGGAACTGGCTCAAAGGTTGTATGATGAAACCTCTGACGAGGAAGCAATCTTCATGAGAGGGGCAAGGTAAATGACAGACTGCCTTCCCCACGTTACCTAACGGGACAAACGGGGCGGGCAGAGAGGAAAAGTGGCCTGTTCTGTTCCCCACAGCACGAGCGAAGGCCCGGGCGAGAGGGCGGCCGCTGAGTCGACTGCCGAAGGAGAAAGTGAAGCCCTCGAGGAGGTGCTCACCGAGTGAGCCCTTTTGCTGGGGCTCCTCCATGGCTTATAAAAATACTTCCCTTCTAATACTCGTGTGTGTGATATTCATAAGCCATCCCAGCCAAGATGATAAGAAACGAAAGTCTAAGTTTTATAAAAATCACAAGGCCACAGGCAAGAAAGACTGGTCTGTGTCTAGAAGCCTCCGAGGTAGAAAAATCCTCCCGTGGCGGCACCATGGGCACAGGACGAACAGGGGTCCCACCACACACCCCCAGCAGTCAGGTTCTAGGACATGAACATGTCAAACACCGGGCATTCCAGTGCCTTCTCCCCTGGCTTATCAAGAACCAGTCCTTTACCACAGAGGACCTGCCACACGCCCCTCTGAGGTCTTTCAGGTTGCCTGGATATTTGGATGTTGAAGCCCCGTGCCCTGTGGCGACCTGTCCTGCCTTTTCCCCAAGCCCACAGCCTCAAATGTGAATGTGTCTCATGCTGTCGGAAGGGGCACCTGTCCTTACAAGTCAGTGGGAAAGTTCTCTGGTCTGGCTTTCTCTGCATGCTGGCCCAAGTTACCTCACAACGTTCCTTGCTGAGAAGGAAAAACACATTGTTCTCGCCCGCTGACTTCAGTGAGCCAGCAAACATTCCTGAGTGTGAAACACAAGACTAAGCAGTGGTGGCAGTGGGTGGCTATGGGGACCACCATCTCTGATTTGCTTACTTGGGGCCTGGCCCTGGAACAGGCATTTCTGTCTTGTATCTATCCCAGGAATCCATGGACTAGAGTTTTCTGTTTGGTCTTTAGACATCATTTCCTAGAGAAGGAAACAGAGCCCAAGGAACAGAGGTGACCCGCCCTAGGCCACACATCCACAAGGGAGGACTTAACCCAGGGCTGTCAGACTCCCAGGTTCCCTAACCATTCTGCTCCTCCACTCTAGGATGCAGGGAGAAAGGGCTGCCATCCAGCTCAGTAACCTTGGTAGCCACACAGATGGAAAGACAGGGACCACTGCTATTTACTAAACACCAGCATGGCCAGGTCCATCCTGGACAGTTGTGTCGCATCAGTAAGTCACAAGGACATCAACTCTCCCCATGCCGGCTCCCACTGCATCCCTGGGGGTGTTCATTTTAACGAGAGTGTAGGTTATAAAGAGGAGCCGAACCTGTAAAGGATGAGAAAATTCATGCGGATGGCCACACCTTAGGGAAGCTTTAGCAGTAAGTAGAAGTTACCTGTGGTAGAGCACCTGGCTTCTGCCAGCACTGGTAGGCTGGGGGCCTCAGGGTGTGGGATTTCAGGGAGCCTGGGGGTGGTGGCAGCAGGTGAATGCAGGAACTGGGACTCGTGTCCAGAAAAACAGAGTGAGCCTGAGGATTTCTGCATGTACTTGATCCCAGGCAGGGGCTCGGGGTATAGAACGTGGAGGGGAGAGCCCTAGGTTAGCATGCTGGGGTGGCATGCTGGGGTGGCATGCTGGTGGACCGGGCTAGGGAAACTGTGAACATGCTTGGATCTTGGGTGGGCAGAGAAGGAAACGGGCCGGTGTGCATGCGTGGAGCCTGGGTCCCTGGTGGGCCGGCAGAGCTCAACACCAGCACACCACCACCCCATTGGAAGCCTGGGCTGGGAACCCATGTGTTCCTGGCGCAGGGACTGTGGATTGCTCAGGGAAGAGGGTATGGGGGTGTGTGGGAGGGAGGACTGCTGAGGAAGTATGTTGCAAGTGAGGAATGACTTCTGGGGGACCTCAACCAAGAAGACCACTATACTTGGCAGGTCAGTGAGGGAGCTGAGGCTGAGCAGTTGGAGGAGGGAAGCTAGAGGACCTTTCTGGGTCAGACCAATGCACCTACCCATGTGGGAGACCCTAGCTGGGCTAGTGAACCTTGACCACTGCTAACCGGCAAACACCAGCTCACACTAAAGCTAGCACTGTGGTTCTTCCTGGCAGGGCTTGATCATAGTACCTACCAGTGAGTGTCCAAACAGGGAGCTGGTAATGTTAGGCTAGGCCATGACATTAACCAACACATGAGAGAACCAGGTCTGGGGGCAGATTCTGTGGGAGATACGTGGGCTTTCTCCTGTGGAACTGTAATATCTGCTGGTTTGCTCAAGAGCTGGGAGGTGGTGATGGCCTGAGCTACGCATGATCATGGAACCCCCTGACACTTATGGGCACTGGGCAGCCTCACTGCCTGCCTGGACAAGCCCCAGGTCTGGAACCTGGCGCTGCTGGCCACTGGCTGCAGCCTGCCCAGCCATCATGCGTCTGGAATTCAGACGGGAAGCTGCCTGGCCTGGCGGGGAAGGGGCCTGGCACACAGCTCCTCTGGCCCCAAGCAGCCCCTCCCCAGCCCTGGGGGCCAGCCCAGATCTGTGTACCAGCTGGGCTCTCACCCCCCTCAGCCCCATTGGGTGAAGATGCTGTCCCCAACCAGGTAAGCCGGTGTCTGCAGGCGGTAGAAAGAGCCCACTTTCCAGGGAACACCCCAGAGAGACGGGTGCAGTCCCCCATCACCCCGAGAGGCTGGGTCAGGGGGTCCTGCTACTTTTCTGGCCATGGCAGTTGTTTTTCTAGAGGCACTCTGGGCGTCCTCCCACTTCTGTCTCTACACCCTGTGGCCCAGAGCCAGGAGGGCTGTCTTGCAGCCAGAGTCCTGGCAGGACCCCAGACTGACCACTGGCTGCTCCAGGACAGGAGGCCGGGGGTGGACACAGACACGCCGAGGTGGGGTCAGGTCAGAGGTCAGGTGTCCAGGCCCATGCACTGCAGGGGGGCTGTGACCCTGGGCTGTGGGGTTTGCCAGGACAGGTCAGACTGGTCAGCCACGTTCTCCAGGACAGGTGTCCTACAGTGTCCCTGCCGAGTGCTGTCCCGGTGCCGGCGGGATTGGATCAGGTTCTCTGGACATGTGGTGGCCAGTGGCCAAGTCCATGGTATAGGACTCAGGGCTGCTTTGGAGGGACGCGGGGCCCAAGGGATAGCCTTGGCCCAAGGGATAGCCTTGGCCGCCGTGCTCCCAGTTCTGTGGCTCCAGTCATGGCAGGGCTCCCGAGGGCTGACAAGGTGCCTGCTGTGTCCTTGCAGGCTATTTCCACCACAGGCCACAAGATCCATCCTTCCGTGGCGTCTGGCTTGTGGCCTGGAGAGCTGCCCCCAGATGGCCCTGGGGCAACTCCTAATCCTGGGGGTCCAGGGGCCAGCTGAGCAAGGGTGTTCACTGGGCCCCCAGTGTTGGGACCAGGCTGGGGGAGACAGATGGGCACTTGACGGGGCCCAGGGGCTTCATGTCAGCCTGCAGACCACCCTGACCATGTCCTCCTCAGGGCCACCATGCCCACCTCTGCCCCTTTGCTCTCTCTCATGCCAGAGCTGTGCTGGGGACTGTGGAGGGGTTTCCTGCAAACCAACATAGGGGTCTGCAGCCCCACAGGGCCAAGGACAGAAGATGGGGAGGGCAGGGGCCTCCTGTCCCCCAGGGACCCCAGTCCTGGGCCTCCCTTGAGTCCGGAAGTCCCTCCTCCCGATGAGCCTGGTCGCCGCTCCCCTGGCGGGCAGCCCTCAGCAACAGCAGCCGTGACAATTGACCCTCCTTGTGACCACCGTGACCCCTAATAGGAGCCCCAGCCCTGGGAAGGAACCGCAGACAAGGATGCTGTCCCCAGAAGGGGAGGGTGTGCGTGCACGGGATTTGTGTGGGTGCGTGTACGGGTGCATGAGTGCCACGGCTGTGGCAAACACTGCCATGCCTCTGCGCTGTGTGAGACACACGCCTTGGTGTGTGATGTGTGTCACTGTGTGCGGTGCTGTCATGCATGTAGGTCTGGTGTGGCTGTGTGGAGTATGCTGGTACACGTGTGCGTGGCGTGCTCTGGGTGGCACGTGTGCGTGGTGTGCTCTGGGTGGCATGTGTGCGTGGCGTGCTCTGGGTGGCATGTGTGCGTGGCGTGCTCTGGGTGGCACGTATGCGTGGCGTGGTGCATGTGATGTGACACTGAATGAGCTGTGGTGCACATGTTTAGTATGGCACACGTGTATTTGGTGCAATGCATGTTTGGTGTGGCCTGATGTGTGTACACGCGTGGGCCTCACTGTGCCGGTACCCCCTCTGTTTTTGAGGAGCCTTAATGTAGGTCGCTGGGGCCCCAAGGGGCAGCTGTGGCAGCCCAGGCTTGGCACAGTGCTCACTTGTCATAAGAATGGTGGCAAGTGTTGGGGGATGTCAGCGGAAGGACACAGCCAGCACCTCCGCTGGCATCTGGAAACCCAGCACAGCCACCGCCCTCCAGGGGCCCTCCGAAAACGACACGGACGCAGACACTCCGAGAGGTCCATGCTATACCCGAACAGGGAAGCCCTGGGTGGACGCACAGAGCTGCCGGGCCAGGAAGGCAGGGCTGTGGCAGGCACTCGACACAGAGTGACGGCCACGAGCTCTGCCCACATCCTCGGAGCAGCAACCAGGAGCCCCACCCGGGGCCACGGATAACCAGCCACGGGCCCCACCCGAGGCCACCTGTAAGAAGTGTCCAGACACCTGGCCCGGGTCCTTGGACTCGCTTGTAAGAACATGTCCTACTTAATGAAAAAGACAGAGCAGTGGACACAGGCCCCGTTGTAAAAGGAGAACATGGCAGCTCATTTGGCGCTGCAGCAAAAGCGATGACAGCAAAGGATGTTGGTGAGTGGAGCCAGTGGACACTGCGAGGGTGACATTGTGGGACCGGTGCAATCGGCAGCATTCCAGAACTGTCCAAGCCGCCTGGACGGCACCTCGGAACGTCCACGAGGAGACTCTGGGTCGGCATGAGGTGGCAGTTCCTCATCCGGGGATTGGGATGTGAGGAAAGTCGGGAGAGGTTCCCCCTTTGTCTCTCCCCTCCCCTCAGAAACCACAAGAAGAAATAGCAAATTTGGAAGCAATGAGTTCACCCAATTTTCTCTAACCTTGGTCTACCATGTAATCATTATAAAAAAAATAAAAATTATTAAAAAAAGAAGAAGTGTCCAGAACAGGCTGTGGCCGCTGGTGGGTGAGGGCCAGCTGGGCAGGGTCTGGGCAGCTGTCTCGGCCAATTGGGCCAGGCACTGGGGTTCACTGCTCCAGCGTGATCTGACAGGCCTGGGGTGTCGCTGCTCACCTGAGAAGTCCACCTCCAGGCCCCGAGGGGTGGCTCAGCCACGGGGCCCACTGCCCACCGTGCTGCAGGGTCACCTCTGGAGGCTCATGGCTAGGGCTGTGCGGCCCCTCCTCGGAGTGTGGGACCTGACCCTGGGGTCACGAGGGTCATACAGTTCCATAGCTCCTCCCTGGCTCCTCAGCAGTTGGGAGAGGGGCTTGGAATGGGGGGGGGGTCACTCCTGGAGTCGCTGACCACAAAGGGGCATCAGGCACAGAGAGGGCCAGGAGCAAGAGCAGGAAGTGGCTGCGGCAATCTGGCCACTCCCAGGTCTACACAGGTGCTCAGGACGGGGTCCCCCACACCTGTGGTTGGCAGCCCGGAGCCCCGAGGAGGCTCCCAAGACCGGGGCTCTGCCCCGCTCCTGCACAGGCAGGGACTCTGGGGCTGAAACGGGACAGGACGGTCTGGGTGGCCCTGGGGGCGCCCGGGGCGCCTCGGGGACGGCGGCTGCGCAGGTGCTCCCGGTAGCTCCTGCTGAGCAGCGTGTAGAGGAAGGGGTTGACGCAGCTGTTGCCATAGGTGAGGCACGTGGTCAGGAAGTTGACCACACGCACCGTGCGCGGCGCCAGCGGCAGCGCGGGCCGGTACTGGGCCAGCAGCTGCCAGAGCCAGAAGGGCAGAAAGCAGGCCCAGAAGAGCAGCACGATGCCCAGGATGAGGCCCAGCATGCGGGCACTGGGCAGCCGCTGCGTCTGCCGGAAAGAGGCCTGCTGGGAGCGCCAATAGGCCCAGGCCAGGCGCACGTAGAGCAGCCCGATGACCAGGCCGGGCGCCACCATGCTGGTACCGAACAGCAGCGTCAGGTAGGCACGATGGGCCTGCGGGCCCCAGGCGGGCAGACAGAGGCTCTTGGGGCCCCGGCGTGCCAGGCGGATGGCTAGCGCCATGGGCAGCGTCAGCAGCAGCGCCAGCAGCCAGGTGCCCAGCACCAGCACCTTGCGGGAGCCCCCGGAGCGCCGCATGGCATGCAGCGGCCGCAGCACCGCCGCACAGCGCTCGCGGCTCATGGCGGTCAGGGTGAAGACGCTGGCGTGCATGGTCAGGAAGTCCAGGCTGAAGAGCACGCGGCAGCCGGCGTCGCCGAAGCGCCAGTCCTGGGAGACGTAGGTGGCCACGATGAACGGAATGCCCAGCAGGTAGAGCAGGTCGGCCAGTGCCAGGCTGACCACGTAGGCGTACAGGGGGGCTGAGGCGCGCAGGAAGCGGCAGGCCACCACCAGCGTGTACAGGTTGCCGACCATGCCCACCAGGCCCATGGCTGACAGCACCGCCCCCAGAGCCCCTGTGGCCGCCAGGTCCTGCAGGGAGCTGTGCTCGGTCGGGCTAGTCCAGGAGCCATTGAGGGACACGTTGGGGCCGCTGGGCGGGCTGGGCAGGGCGCTGTCCGTGGCCACCAGCCTGGGGAAGTCACTCGGGGTTCCCGGCTGCAGCGCCATCTCTGCCCCTTGCACGGGGCTCAGGGCTGGGTGCCAGCTCGGCCTGTGGGAGAGGAAGCACGTTAGAATGGAAGGAAGCACCTCTCTGTCTAGCATTACGAGGCCGCTGCCAGGCACAGCTCCCAGGGACCTGCTGCAGCGGGAGAGGGCACTGCAGGGGGACGAGGCTCCGGCCAGGCTCCAGCAAGAAGTGGACCTGCAGGGCAGCCCCACCCAGGCCTTGCCTTCTCCCATGTGGGTGGGGAGCAAGGCCCGCCTGCCCAGAGTACTTTCTCGCTTGTACTCTAGGTCACCAGTTCCAGTCCTGGCTGCTCCCCTTCTCATCCAGCTCCCTGCCTGTGGCCTGGGAAAGCACTAGAGGACAGCCCAAAGCCTGGGGACACTGCACCCGCGTGGGAGACCCGAAAGAAGCTCCTGGCTCCTGGCTTCAGCCTGGCCTAGCCCTGGCAGTTGGCAGTGTTTGAGGGCGTGAACTGGTGGACACAGGATACCCCAAAAGAACTACAAATCCAGAAAGAAAAGACGAGCAAGCCAGTGGGGAAGAAAACAGAAATGTCTCATGGGAGCTTCAAGAGCATGTGGGAAACTGGGAGGGCCTCTCCCATAATACCTCTCTAAACAGGAAGGAGACAATTTGGAATACTTTAAAAAAAAAAAAAAGAAAGATATACAAGGAGTTGACAATGTGGGGCAGGCCTTGCTGCTGCCGTTGAGTTCATGCTGCAGCGTTACCTTATGAACATGAGGGCCTTATCTCGGTACACATCCTTAATATAGGATATGGGCAAAAGCGGAGATCCTGATTCCATGTGATCCAGGATTAGCCAGGTTCTAGTGTACCATTGTCAAAACTGCTCAACACTAGTCTATTGCTGGTCAGAAACTGAATTCAATGACACATTTACATAAACCGCAACCTAAAGTGGGCCTCTAACGTACCTAACCCTAACCCTAACCCTAACCCTAACCCTAACCCTAACCCTAACCCTAACCCTAACCCTAACCCTAACCCTAACCCTAACCCTAACCCTAACCCTAACCCTAACCCATGCAGTGTTTGCCTCAAGGCAGTGCTGTTATGCTTCTACCTTAAAACCTAAAGGAGACTATTCTATGTCATTTGGTTGTTGACCTCTCCCTTTGGCAATTCTGAAATGCAGGATGTTTTAAATAGACTTTGTATTATCTATTAATATTTGCTCAATTTAACACATGACTTAATGGTTAAAGAGATATTGCAGGGCGTGGCACGGTGGCGCAGTGGTTAAGGTCCTCGCCTTGCACGCCCGGGATCCCATATGGGCGCCGGTTCTAATCCCGGAGGCCCCTCTTCCCATCCAGCTCTCCGCCTGTGGCCTGGGAAAGCAGCAGAGGACGGCCCAAAGCTTTGGGACCCTGCACCTGCGCGGGAGACCCGGAAGAGGCTCCTGGCTTCGGATTGGCATAGCATTGGCCGTTGCGCTCACTTGGGGAGTGAATCATCGGACGGAAGATCTTCCTCTCTGTCTCTCCTCTCTGTATATCCGCCTTTCCAATAAAAATAAAATAAATCTTTAAAAAAAAAAAAGAAAAGAAATATTGCAGGGGATATTTTAAAGACATAATGGGGCCTGGCGCGGTGGCGCAGTGGTTACAGTCCTTGTCTTGCACGCCCAGGATCCCATATGGGCACCGGTTCTATCCCGCAGCCCCGCTTCCCATCCAGCTCCCTGCCTGTGGCCTGGGAAAGCAGTCGAGGACAGCCCAAGGCTTTGGGACCCTGCACCTGCGTGGGAGACCCAGAAGAGGCTCCTGGCTTCGGATCGGCATAGCATCAACCGTTGCGGCTCACTTGGGGAGTGAATCATCGGACGGAAGATCTTCCTCTCTGTCTCTCCTCTCTCTGTATATCTGCCTTTCCAATAAAAAAAAAATTTTAATAAATCTTTTTTAAAAAAGACATAATGGTATATTCTTCATTATTTTCATTGTGATTTTTCAATGATGCACAAAGCATTCTGCTCCATACTGTATGTGAGTACAATATCCTAAGTCAAAGTCTTGTTCTAAAAAAAAAGAGAGAGCATGTGGGCGGAGCCTGGGGACCCCGAGTGGGCACACCCAGCCCCACCACGCAGGAACATGGGTGGAGCCTGGAGTCAGAGAGTGGGCACACAGGCAGACCCCCACCCCACAGGCACTGTAACCGTGACGGGCACCCCAGCTGCCCACAGCTCCCCCCAGGACACAACCTAAGCAAAGACGTGACCCGTGTCCCTCAGCAGCTGGGCACAGCCCCACTGTGGCTCACGGGGGGGCGGGCAGGCCCAAGCCTACTCAAAGCCTCCCAGGCTTGCCTAGGACGCCCTCCAGCTGGGCCCCCGCAGTGGGCAGCCCAGAAAACACGCAGTCCTTTGCGCTCGGCTCTTCCTCCACCCGCCCACGCTGGGGCGGGGCGGGGGGGCGGAAACAGGACCCCGAGTTCTCCCGACACAGCGTCCCATGCCCAGGAACAAGCACAGCCAAAGGGTCAGGGGGCCTGGCCCCACCCGCCCCACAGCTCTTGGGACCAGCGACCCCATGGCTCTTTCCCCCTCCCAACCTTGGCCGAAGCTCTGGGAGGGGCGCAGCTGCCCCAGCGCCTGGGACACAACCCCAGCTCCGCCAGACCCTACCCTGCCCCGGGGGTTCCCTGAGTCCGCCCTTCCAGGTCCCCTCCAAGTCCGAGGGTCCTCCCACGCCCTCCCCTCACCCTAATTCCCGCTGGAACGCCAGAGGGCTCCGCGGTGGGTGCGAGTCCGCCAAGACCCAACGGAGACCCCGGCCCGAGACCCACCTGCTGCGCCCCTCGGTCACGGAGCCATCGCCCCGGTAGCGCTGCGCCTGCAGACGGGGCGCGGCTCCCGGGGCTCAACGCAAGGGGCGCCCGCCGGTCCCGTGCCACCTGCCCGGCCGCCAGCTGGGAATGCGCGGCGGCCCCGCGCCAGGCCGGGCATTTACGCGGTGAGCGCGGGGGCGGCGCCGGGACGGGCGCCGGGGGGACGGCGCTGCAGCTGGCCCCCGGCCCCGAGCGCTCCTGAGCCCCGGCGCCACTCGTGATGGCCTTGCCACGTCGGGTGCTCCGGGTGGAGAGGGCACCTTCGGAACCCCAGAGGGCTGAGGGGTCAGAACTGTGCCTGGAGCCCCAGAGGCCTGAGGAGGAAGGCGGTGGCCGACTGACCTTCAGCTCCTGTGGCCCAAAGGGTCAGCTGCGCCTGCGGGAGGATTCTGCCCGGTCTGCGGCCCTCCCGAGTCCATCTTCCCAGCAGGTTTCCAGGGGCGTGAGGAGGCAGGCACAGCTGAGTGGAAGCCAGTCCAAGCTTTCAATTGGAAAGTGAGCAGGCCACCTCGCTGTCCTCCCAGCCCCATCCATGAACAGCGAACTGCCCAGCTGAGGGCAAACCTGCAGAGACACGGCGTGGGAGGCCTGCATC